AGTCCTCCTAGGAGAACCAGCGTTGGCTTTATTTGCTTATTTTCAACGTCTGTTTACTTGCTCACTTGTTTCTTGGCTGCGCTGGGTCCTCGTTGCTGCGTGAAGGCGGGCCCTGGTTGCAGAGAGTGAGGCTGGTCTCTAGTGGTGGGTGGGCTTCTCATCGTGGAGCACGGGGGGCTGCGTGGCCCCTGGGCGTGTGGGCTCTTCCCGGGTCAGCGGTGCAGTGGGTGCCTGGGCACTGGCCGGCGGGCTCTCACCCGCTGGGCACCAGGGACGCCCAGCTTGGCTTTAGACGAGGCTTCCTCACGGTTCCTTTGCAGGGTTTTGGCTTCTTGGTGTTAAATCCCTCCTCTCTGTCTTAGGTTTGCTCTGTGGTTTGAACGCTCAGCTTGAAACTGAGTCCCCTTAAAACAGAGTCCCTCTGCCAAGTTTAGAACTAAGCTCTATCCAAAACTTTCTTCCCTGTCTTTTCCTGAACCTGTTTCCCTCAAGATGGTCGAGTATAAAAGAAAGGGGGGATTGAGACCCCAAACCAGCTCCCGTGTCCCTAGCTTTTGCCTCCTGGGCCTCCCCTGGTTCTCAAAGGGTTGGCTCAAGACATAGTGATTAGGAAATGTGGAGGAGAAACCAAGAACAACCGTTGGGACAGGAAGCTGCTGACAGTTTAGGCCCGACACACGCTTTAAAGGTGTTTTTACAGAAAGCGGACCCCACCAGGTGAAAACTGCTGACCACGGCACGGAGACCCCAGACCCCAGACCCCTTGAAACCAGCAGGCTGGTGATGCTCACAGCCACCCGGAGCGAGCACAGGCTGCTCACACCTTTGAGGTCCCCTCCCCTCGCGGCCTTTGAAGCCGGTCTCCTAACCAGCAGCTCGGGACGGTCTGGGGCCCCGGCCCGCCGTCCCCCCCGGGCTGCCGGCCTCCTGAGTGAAGCAGCTTTTCCTTCACCAGCTCTTGGCGCTCGAGTATCGGCCTTTTGAACAGCCGAGTGTGGGTTGGGTAGCGGCCTCATCTGATTACAGGTTCACTTACTGACTTCTTTGTCTGTCTGCTTCCAGCAGATTAGGCTGTGATCAAGGCAGAGATAATTCGGAAAGGGAGGCTGAGGCATGGCGGATGCGGAGCTGCCCCACGTGCAGGTTGGTGTCAGCAGCTCCAGCACAGGCTGTCGAGAAGGTCATCCTTTCTTCCAGAACTGCCGGTACACCTTTGTCCAGAGAACCCGTAGGCCTCCTGCTGACGTGCGTGCCTGCCTGACCATCACTCACACGGACCTGCGTCTATACACACGGGCTAAATGACTTCTTATCTGCCTGGGGCTGGCTGCTCAGAGCCTGCTTGGCCTGCCAGCTTCTGCCCATTTCCCAGCGAGCCTCAGCTGGGCCGTGGACCAACACTGCCTCTTGGGCACCCGGTGCCCGGCTGTCTTCTTCTGACAGTGGGCCAGGCTGAGGGGCCACTGCAGAAGCCAGGGTGTCCCGGGTCCAGGCAACACCCTGTCTCTCCAAGACGTGGCAGGGCCACCGTCCTTCCAGGCTCCAGGAAAGGGTCACACAGACCAGGAACACGGGAGCCTCTCCCTGTGGCCGGACCTGCGTCCTCATCTCCTGAAAGGGCACTGGGCCTGCCCCCTGACCACCCTGGGGAGGGCAGGCTGCTGCTCAGTGGCACCTTGGATGGTAATCGCGGTAATTACTGGGTCCAGCTGAACGTTCGGTTCCGTCCCCAGGGGGTAGGGTCATGGGAGTGCATGGTGGCCGGCGGGGGCACACCCTGCCCTGTACGGGCACAAACATGCCTTTGTGGGGCCCTGGGGTCCACCTGTGGCCCTGGCCGCCTTCTCGGGTCAGCCCCGAGTCCCAGGAAGGCACGCCAAGACCAGAACCTCCTCTGTCCCCGGGAAGAGAAGGGGGCCCTGGCGCTGGCCCAGTGCTCTGTGTTCCTGATCTGGCTGCTGTGAAATGCAGACAGCTGGACAGCTGGACACGGCAGAGGGCAGTCAGACAGGGCGAGCGGCCACGAGGGAGGCCTGAGCTCCCCCGGAGGCCGGGTGGCCCCTCTGAGGGCGGGGGTCCCTCCATGCCCTGGACGTGCGGTGCGAAGAAGCGGGCACCACCCAGGGCTCAGACGGGTGGACAGACACTGGTGGGGCCATTCAGGCGGGAGCTCCAGGGCAGTGGGCCGGGCGGCTCCCAAACGCCCCATCCGGGCCTGGGAGGTGGGACTGAGTTACCGATGGTGAAGTGAGATGGCCCTGCAGCCCAGGGCTGGTGTCCAGACAGACACGTAGGAGGAGGCGTGAGAAGACAGAGTGACTGTCGGGGGTGTGGCCACAAGCCAGGGGCCGCCGGGGGCTGCAGGAGGCAGGAAGGACCACCCCACCCCCCGGAGACTGCAGGGGGCCGGCCCTACCAGCACCTGGATCTCAGACTTCGGGCCTCAGCACTGGGAGGGGATACATTTCTACCGTTCCCGGCCTCCCCAGCCTGGGGGCCCAGGGCATAAAAGCTGTTCTTCACAGACAATCCATGGGGAGTGTGACGCGGTTGGGATGTAGGTGGGAGGGCTCCCCAAGGAGGCCGTGATGAAGCTGAGCCCTGAATCCTCAAAGAGGGCAGAAGGTCACAGGCCAGGGGCTGTAGGGACAACCGGCCGCCAGGGCAGAGAGGCCAGGACTGAGCTGGACGCCCCCCCACCGCATTCCTCACCCGCCCTGTTCTCCTGCAGGTCAGACCTCCCGCTCACGGCAGACCCTGCAGGAGGGGGAAGGTGCGCTCAGAGAGGGGAGTAGGCTGAGGGTGAGGCCGGAGGCCCCCTCCCATCTCCCCACCTGCAGGGTGGCCCTCCGCCCCCCACAGATCGCGTGGGGCCCTATGGCCTGGCCCGAAGGCTTAATGAGCCATGGGTGGAAATGACAGGTTCCCTTGCCAGCTGGCCACGGAGCGTGGGGGTCTGTGCCAAGTGCCCCGGGACCCTGGGCCAGGGGGTATAAAAGGCGGCTGAGGGAGGGCCTGCAGAGCCTCTCGGAACCTCAGCAAAAGGACCTGCCGGTGGCGTGAGCCCAGAGCCCCCAAGATGAGCACCCTGACCCTGACTCTGACCATCGCCCTAGGCCTGACCTCCTCCCTCGGCCTGACCTTGGCTCTGCAGGCCCGGGACAGCCTGTCCTTCCAGGGGCCGGATGTGAGGCTCCGGGGGACGGTGGGGGTCGGGGGTCCCAGGCTGAGCCCTCCCTGTCCACGGAGGCCAGCGTCTTGGGGTCAGAAGCGAGACACGGTTTAGGGCTCGGCCCTGACCCTCCCACAGACAGTGACCGCCAGGGCTGGGAGGCTGGGGGCCAGCGGGGCCTCCGCCCCATGCGCTCAGCCCCACGCGGTGCCCCAGGAAGGTGCTAGAAGGAGGGGCCGCAGATGTGCCAGGGGAGCAGCCTGGGGGTGTCCGAGGGGCTTCAGGGGGCGTCGGGGTCGAGGGAGCTGGCTGTGGGTGGGGTGGCTGGTGAGGCGGAGGAGAGGCGGCGCCAGGTCCACACGTGTTTCAGGTTTCGGGGAAGTGGTTCATCACGGCCTTCGTGGAGAACAAGGGCCTCACCGGGGACAGGGTGTTCCCCGTCACGTTTTCCGTTCTGAGCGACACCCACGTGTGGGCCTCCATGACGCAGAGGTGAGTGGGCGGCTCCTGGACGCGCGCGGGCCCTGCCTTCCCGGCCGAGGCCCTTCATCAGGCCGCGAGCCCGCCGCCTGCTGGTCCTCCCGCCATCCTGCAGGCGGGGGGAGGCTGGACGCCCGCCGAACTGGGCGGGAGCAGGGGCCGGGGCTCTGCCGGGACGGGATGGAGGAGCGGAAGGCTCCACCTGGAGTCGGGGTCCACTGCGCTGCGCCACGGTCGGGGTGCGGGCCCCGAGCGTCCCCAGGGTGGGGGGGGCCTCAGGCCCCTGAGCAGGGGGCTGTGTCTTCCAGGGACCGGGGCTACTGCTACGACGTGGACGTCGTCCTGGAGAAGACCAGCGTGTCCGGCACGTACACTGCCTGTGAGTGGGGGGGTGGCCCCCAGAGCTGGAGCCACAGGCCCAGACCTGTGGCCGGAGGGGGCCGTCAGGATGGGGCGCCCCTGCTGGGGCACAAGGCAGGCGCGGGCCCCAGGGGACAGGTGACTAGATCTGGGGTGGGGGCCATGGCAATTGGGGGCCCCCCGCCACCCCCAAGCCAGGCCCCGGGACTCGCCGCTAACACGCCCGGCCCTTGGTCCTCCGCAGCGAGGGGCAAGACCCATGTGGACGTGGAGGAGTTGCCTGCAAAGGATCACCTCCTGATTTACTGGGAAGGGCCGTTCGGAGGGGGAAGGTTCAGAGGAGCCAAGCTCTTGAGTGAGTCCCCCTCACCCCGCCTGGCCCCGTCTCTGCTCCAAGGGCCCTGTCCGCCTGGCCACAGCCCTTCTCCTCCCAGGGCTTTGGCGCCTCCGAAGGGGCAGCGCTTGAGGGCCCAAGACAGGCACAGGCCCGCGTGCTGGCTCCGGTGGCCCAGGGGCCTGTGCAGGCAGCGCCCTCTGACCCGACAGACCGCTCTGGAGGCACATTCCAAGTGCCGCTTCCTGGGGTCTCGGGCCAGGGCCGGGTCAGCCTGGGGGAGGCGGGAGGTGCGGACGGAGGAATTCTTGGGGCAGGGACCCTCACGGGGGGCAAAGGCCAGGCTTCTCTGGTCAGAGGGCAGTGCAGTTCCTCTGGGAGGAGAGTCCTTCCAGGTCAGGGGCCAGACCCTGCAGGGGGCTCTGGGATCCGGCCCGAGTCCCCCCGGAGCCCCCAGGGACTTGTCGGAAGCCCCCGGGGCCTCCCCCGCTCCTTCCCCAGGACCTGTTGGCTGGGAGGGGCCCGTCTCCTCCGCACCTGCTCGGCGCCCACCCCAGACAGACCCCTCCTGCTCTGCGCCCTCCCAGGGTGCTGGGAGGTACCCTGCTCCCGGGTTTCCCCCGAGGCCTGACTCACCAGCTGCCTGGCCTGCAGGTAGAAATCCTGACGTGAGCCCAGCGGCCCTGGAGGCCTTTAAGAAATACGCACAGCGCAAGGGCTTGTCCCCAGAGGACGTCTTCACACCTGAGCAGATGGGTGAGGGGCCGGCCCACGGCACCCCCGGGTCCTCTCTGCATCCTCTTCCCGCTCCGGGTCCCTCCCTCCATCCTCTCCTGCTCCTCCCTGGCCCCTGGCCACTCCTGCCCCTCCCCAGCCCCTCCGTGGGGAGCCGTCAGCGCTGTGATGGGTCACAGGGAGCCCGGGGGCCTCGCTCTGGGCCTCCGTGACCCATGTCCGGGCTGCGGGCGGTGAGGGGTCTGGACTGCTGTGAGGGGCGTCTTCTCACTCCTGGGCTTGTCTTGGTCTCTACAGAAATCTGCGAGCCTGCAAGTGACTAGGGTGAGTGGTCCTTGAAGCTGTTGAGGGTCCTAGTTCAGTGGGGCGTCGGGGTCCACCGGGCTCCCCAGGGCAGGCAGAGGGGACCCCACGTGGCCAGGAGGAGGCGTCTCTGCTCTGGGGGCCCCCGGCCGGCCCCACCCTGCAGGGTCTGTTCCTGGGCTTCACTCCGCACGTCAGGCGCCCTCTGCACCCAGGGCTCACTGTTGTGTAAGTCGGGACGTCTGTGCCCGCCCAGCTGTGCACCCGGGAAGATGCATTCCGCCCCCCACGCTGCAGCCCTGGGGGCAGGGAGAGCCCCGTCTGCCCCCTTCCTTCATGACCTCTCCCCTCCTCTCCAGGGCAGGGGGCACTGAGGCTCCACGGCAGGACCCGGGCAGCGCCATCAGGACCCGCCCCCTTCTCCCCCGGCCCTCCCTCCCACCCCTCTGCTCCCCGCCCCGCTTTCTCCCCCAGCCCTCTCTCCCCTCTTCTGGCTTCAAATAAAAAGCTTCAGCGTCTCCAGTGGCTTGGCCTGTCTGTGGGGCCCCTCGGGGGTGAGGGGGGAGGCCGGGGAGGTGGAAGCCTTGCAGGAAGGACCAGAGGACCAGCTCGTGTCCTGGGTCCCCGTGGTGTGTGTCTCTGTCTGATGGGCCTGGGGGTCCGGGGAGAGGCGGGTGCTGGCAGCTCTGCCCGAGGTCCTGGGGGGTCTCTGCAGGTCTGATGCCCACGAGCACAGGTTTGGGTGGTTGTGTGGCTAGGGGAGGAGGCTGATGCCCACGAGTGGAGAATTGGGTGGTCCTGTGGTTGGGGGAGGGTGTGAGGGTGGTGGGGTCAGCCCCAGCCCCAGGTGGGGACACGTGTGCAGGTGGGGATTGCCCGGCCCCCTGGGCCCCCACAGGCTGGAGGCCGAGGTGGGAGTGAGGGGGGCCAGGCACATAGGACAGGGATGGCCTGACACTGGGCCCCAGACCCGGACGCCTCTGCTGGTCTCCCCCCGGCCCCGCCCAGGCCAGGCTGCACACAGGCACTGCCCCTGGGGAGGGGACCGCATCAGCAGTGACCTCTGGCCTCTTCTGACGCTGACCTGCAGTTTCCCCAGATCCCCCTGGGGCATCATACCACCTGACAGCCAGCCGATGGCGACCAGGGTCTCCTTTCTCATGGTGGGAGGGGACCCCAGCCCAGCCTCCCTGGAGACTGGGGATGAGGGGTCCCTCCACACAGGGTCAGTGTGGCTCCCCAGTGGGGGCGGCCAGCTCGCCTGGGCCCTCCTGGACACAGCAGGCCCGCCAGGCAGACGAGGGGCCCTGGGCACTCTGTTCCCACCTGACGAGGAGACACCAGACAGGGCGTCCCCCGCAATGCAAGCCCCTCCCCAGTGTGGGGGCGCCCGTGGAGCCGCCATGCTGGGTCCTCCCTGCCGGCCCCTCCTGCCCTCTCCCCATATCAGGGGTGATGACACTGGGCCCCGGGATCACCAGGATCATCTCCGTCTCACGTCCTCCCTGCCCAGCCCCTCCCGCCCCCTCCCCGTATCAGGGGTGATGACACTGGGCCCCCGGATCACCAGGATCGTCTCTGTCTCACGCTGAGCTGACTGGCCCCTCCCGCCCCCTCCCCATATCAGGGGTGATGACCCTGGGCCCCCGGATCACCAGGATCATCTCCGTCTCACGTCCTCCCTGCCCAGCCCCTCCCGCCCCCTCCCCGTATCAGGGGTGATGACACTGGGCCCCCGGATCACCAGGATCGTCTCTGTCTCACGCTGAGCTGACTGGCCCCTCCCGCCCCCTCCCCATATCAGGGGTGATGACCCTGGACCCCCGGATCACCAGGATCGTCTCCGTCTCACGCTGAGCTGACCGGCCCCTCCCGCCCCCTCCCCATATCAGGGGTGATGACACTGCCCCCGGGATCACCAGGATCGTCTCCGTCTCACGCTGAGCTGACCGGCCCCTCCCGCCCCCTCCCCGTATCAGGGGTGATGACACTGGGCCTCGGGATCACCAGGATCGTCTCCGTCTCACGCTGAGCTGACCAGCCCCCTGGTCCAGCCATACCTTCAGGTCTTCGCCCCGAGCCTCACCTGGTCCTCGACTGGCCGGGAAGGGCACGCAGGCGGCGCTGCCAGGACCAGCGAGAGGGACAGGTCTGGGGCCTCTCGGGGGCAGGGCCCACGCCAGGCTGACTGCACGGAGCAGACGTTCCTTCCTGCCACCGGACAGAGAGGACAGGGCCACCGCGTGTGAGGAGCCACGGGCTGGGGGGGACTCACAGAAGGGCTGAGCCCCGCGGGAGCAGCGGGGGGATCTCCCAGGAGGGGAGCCCCGGCCTCGTGACCTCAGGGTGACGCGCCCCCAGCAGAGGGCTGCACGGTCAGGGGGAGGGGTCACAGAAGGGTCTGGGGCCCGGGGGGGATGGGACCCCCACCACCGGAGTCAGAGCTGTGCAGTGTGGGATCGGCCTGGAGCCTTCCCCTACCTGTGCACAGGCAGACACACTCACTCACACTCACTCACAGACACTCATACACACACATACACACACTCACATGCACTCACAGACACACACACACTCACTCATACACACACACTCACAGACACACTCACACACGCTCACACTTAGACACACTCAGACACAATTGCACACACACTCACACTCACACACAGACACAATCACACACACACTCACACATACACACACACACTCACACTCACATGCACACTCACACACAGACTCACACTCACAGACACACACACTCAGACACAATCGCACACACAAACACACTCACACTCACTCATACACACACTCACACTCACATGCACACTCACACACACGCGCACACACACGCTCACACTTACTCAGACACACACTCAGACACAATCGCACACACACACTCACAGACACAATCGCGCACACACACTCAGACACACACACATATACACACGCGCGCGTGCACACAGAAAGACGGGTGTACACGTGAGCGTGCACAGGAGGCACACATCAGCACCCACTCATACGTGTTCACACATGTACACACACGTACACTCACATGTCACACAGCCATGCAGCATGTGTCTGCGCAAGACAAATTCTGTGTGCCTGTGCACACACAGAAACATGCATGTAGACACACACACACTTTATAGCATTTAAATATCCCCCAGGGTGGAAGATGTGCTGTGAACATTTCCCTTGGAGACCTCTCAGCTGTCTCTCTCCTTCTGTCTGTCTGTCTGTCACATGCAGATTCATTCACCTGTGTGTGTGTCTCCCTGCCAATATCACATCCATGTGGTCTCACAGCTGGGATCCTGGATGCAGAGGGTTGGGCCACGTGTCTCAGGTAAGACCACCCTGGGATCTCCCTGCCAGCACCCACTTTAGCAGCTATGGGGCATTCAGTCATCCATGTGGACCACGGCTGGTGGATCCCATCCCCTCTCCACGGACACGAATGTTTCTAGTCCCCTGCTATTTCAACCAGTACTGTGATGGAGACTCTTGACAATGCATCTGTGAAAAACTGTGAGGATCCCTGTGGGCGAGCTCCTAGGAGTCGCTCTGCAGGCACACGCCCTTGGCATCCTCCCCCACAACAGCCCCAAGCGCACAGGCACACACGTGCACGTGGGCACACACATCACGCGAGGATCCCTGTGGGCGAGCTCCTAGGAGTCGCTCTGCAGGCACACGCCCTTGGCATCCTCCCCCCCAACAGCCCCAAGTGCACAGGCACACACGTGCACGTGGGCACACACATCATGCGAGGATCCCTGTGGGCGAGCTCCTAGGAGTCGCTCTGCAGGCACACGCCCTTGGCATCCTCCCCCCCAACAGCCCCAAGCGCACAGGCACACACGTGCACGTGGGCACACACATCACGCGAGGATCCCTGTGGGCGAGCTCCTAGGAGTCCCTCTGCAGGCACACGCCCTTGGCATCCTCCCCCCCAACAGCCCCAAGCGCACAGGCACACACGTGCACGTGGGCACACACATCACGCGAGGATCCCTGTGGGCGAGCTCCTAGGAGTCGCTCTGCAGGCACATGCCTTTGGCATCCTCCCCCACAACAGCCCCAAGCGCACAGGCACACACGTGCACGTGGGCACACACATCACGCGAGGATCCCTGTGGGCGAGCTCCTAGGAGTCGCTGTGCCGGTAAAAGATGCGCCTTGGAGCTCTGGGGTCCCACACACGGCTCTCCCCGAGGGGAGTGTCCTTCCCCGCCTCCCTCCGGGGGCTGCTGGCCCTGCTTCCTCACGCTGTCCCCAGGGCTGGTCATCAGCAGACTGGACAGCTGCCAGGGCAGGGCGACACGGCGTCTCCAGGCTTCCGTCCGTGTCATCGGGAGGCCGAGCACCCCTGACACACACAGCCACGTGCGTCGCCTCGTTAGACGGGCACGCTTGCCATCTGTCCCTTTCTAGAACGTTGACTTTCACCATCTGCGGACCACAGGGACACGAGGGACGCTGTCCCAGCTTGCGGTCTGTCCTCCCAGCTCTCTGCATGTCTGTCTGTTTGGCCGCAGGAGGAGCCAGGCGCTTCCCTCTGTCTTCCGGCTCTGGGGCCACGTTTAGAGCAGGGGTCTCCACACTGAGATGACATAGATATTTACAAAACAGATTTTAATTTATGCATCTCATCTTTAACTCACCTGAAATTTCCCTTTTATATAACAAAAATGCTACTTCCAATTAAAAAAGAAAACAAAAATTAACTACTCCCCTCTTAAAATATGTGGCTGGTACAAAAAGCGACCTGGCATGATTCTGTTCACAGGAAACACCCAGAGCCGGGCAAGAGAGAGACAGAAGCAGGTGAGGGCTCGGGGCGAGGGGCTGGGGCGTGAGCGCTTTGGGTCAGGGCTCCCTTCTCAGGAGGAATCTGTCCACCTGAGGCCGTGGGGAGAACTGTAGACTGTGAACGTCCTCCACACTCCAGAAGTGCACACTTTAAAATAAAAAAAGACTTGCTTACGTGAAGACACAATACTGTGTATTAATGCACACATACGGAACTGAGAAAGGTGGTTAATGCCAATCCTGCACGCGGGGCAGCAGAGACATGGGTGTAACGAGCAGACCTTTGGACTCTGCGAGATGAGGGTGGGAGGACTTGAGAGGATGGCGTTGAAACATGCACATTGCATGTAAAGTCGATGGCCAGTGCGAGCTGGATGCATAAAGCAGGGCACCCAAGCTGGTGCTCTGGGACAACCCGGAAGGATGGGGTGGGGAGGGAGGTGGGAGGCAGGTTCAGGATAGGGGGACACATGTGTACCTGTGGCCAACTCATGTTGATGCATGACAAAAACCATCACAATATTGCAATTATTCTGATTAAGAGATAAAATGAAAACAACAAAAAAAATAAATGACACCATAAATGATAGGAAATGAAATAATAAAATTAAAAACAGAGACAATGACAGGGAAGGGAAAGGAAGTCTGGGATGGGGGTAGGCTGGTTTCCAGGCAGGGCAGTAGGTCCAGGCGCTGCAGGAGGTACCCAGAGCCTGCCTTCCAAAGACGGGAAACTTCCCGCCACCTTTTCCAGAAGCCCCAGACTGCGGTCCCCGATGGCAGTCCTGGGCGGTCTGAGGCCAGTCGCTGCTACCCCCGTGTCCCCCCACCCACCGCCCCCTCGCCGAGGTCCGCGTGCTCCAGGTCGGAGCTGGGCGTGTTGAGCTGCACGGAGGCCACCAGCTGCCTGAGGCAGGGAAGCTCGGGCGCTGACAGGAGTCCTCCGTGCCCTGGTCCAGCCAGGTGCCCAGGAAGGAGGAGATAGCACTGGGGTGGGCGGGCAGCAGAGTCAGGGGCCTGGCATTCCTTCCTCTCGGCCTCCCCTGGCACCCCCCTGGGGGCTGGGCTTCTGGGCTCACCGCACCCATCTGGGCGCCAAGGCCTGGTCGGCAGTGGGGGTGGGCAGTCTCGGCAGGAGGGAGGCCTCTGTCCACGGTGACCACATCTCCCCTCCTGGGCGAGCCCCACTCACTCCTGTCTGACCCCCACCAAAAGGGAACCGCAGGAGGGCAGGGAGGCAGTGCTGCACACAGTAGGCGCTGCATACGGATTTGCTGAATGAATGAGCCCCAAGCAGCACCTTACAGACACCTGAGGGGCCCTGGGCTCTCTGCTTCAGCTACTCCCAGGAGGGGACCGAGATAGGATCCTGATCTCCCTTTACGAACGGGAAGACCTCTCTGCGCCAGGGCTGGAGGCAGAGAGCTTCACGGGGGGGGGGGCGGGGGGAGCGGCGAAAGCTTAATGAAAACCACCCCGTCCCTCGGGAGCCCTTTCCACAGGGCCAGGCACGAGGCTGCACTGTCCACACGTACCCGACAGTCCTGACCCCCCTGAGGTTTGGCCTCTCGTCGCCCAGGCTTCATGTGGACAAACCGAGGCTCAGAGACTTCCCGAAGCCACACAGTGGTCGCTGGGCGCGCGCCTCTCAGACAGCGGGTCCAGGACCTGCTGGGCGGGGGGACGGCTCGTGGGCGCACGGGAAACTGGTGATGTAGCAGGGGTCGCTGCCACAGAAGGCGGGCATCTAGTACTCCAGCGGCTCCTCCAGGGGGTCTGCTGTGCCCACCCCCACCCTGAGGGGCTCATCCAGGTGCGGGAAGGATCCATTTACACACGGGGCTCATTTTCAGACAAACAGGGATGTCAAAAGCAAACAGAGCGAGAATACTCCAGCTCATGTCCTCAAATGCAAAGAACCGCCTCGGGACACGACCAGGGCCAGGCGTGGATGGTGCCAGGGGTGGAGGGGAGCCCAGCTCCTTGGGTTGGGCCTGGCTCTGGAGGCGAAGGTCTGCGCTGGACCTGGGGGGGGGGGGGGGCCAGGTGGCGTCTGCCCCCAGATGCCCAGGCCTGGTTCTGGAAACTGCTCTGCACCCACGCCCACCCGAGCCTTTGTGGCCCAGCTGGTGGTGGGGTGCGCTTGCCTCACACGTGCTGGCCCCAGGTCCCCCTGGACCCTGCTCTCCTGGGCCCAGGATACCAGCCGGTCACAGCAGGTGCGATGGGCAGCGGGAGGGGAGGGCCCTCACTGCCAGCCTTGAAGCTCCCGGCCTCTTGGGGTCTGTCTCCAGGCAGCCCCTCTGGGGTCCGTCCTGCTGGGCGGGTGCCTCTGTATGCAGAGGAGGCTGTGAGGAAGCACAGGTACTGCCAGCTGTGCCAGCCGGTGGGACACAGACCCCCTCCCCACTGAGCCCCCCGAGGGCCCAGGCCGGCCCTCACCCTGGCTCCACGCCTCCCTGCGGATCCTGCACACCGAGACTGTCCAGCTCACCCGTGTCCGCCCAACTGGCGAGTCCCCTGCTCAGGGTGACCGCCCGTGCCTGCGGCTCCCAGGGCCCCAGGTTCCAGGGGATTCTCGGGGGAGAGGCGACTGGGGCCATGCAGGCCGCCAAGGAACAGGGGAGGCAGGGCTGCTCCCCTCAGCCCAGGCCCAGCCCAGGGCAGAACCGGGCCAGCCCCACATCTCAGGTGTCTGTGACCCCGTGTGTCCCCCGCCACCGTGCCCGCTGTCGCCTTCCCTAGACGGCCTGCTTCTGAAGGGTGCGGGGACCCTCTGCCCTGGGGAGACCCATTTACAGCCAGTGAGCTGCCTCATGCCGCACCTACCCCAAGGGCCTTGGCTGCCCACGCTGGCATCCCCAGGCGCAGAGGGACAGTCCGTGCAGGGGTCCACAGACGGGCTCGGAAACGCGCACCCCACTCTCTGAAGAGGCGCTCTGCAGTGGGAAGGCCCGTGAGGGCCCCTCAGCCCACCTGCCTCTGAATGTCTCCATGTTCCCGGATTAAAGCAGTGCCTGCCAGCAGCGGATTTCAGGCTGCCATTCAACTGCCTCACCTTCCGAATGGGACCTCTGCTGTGCACCCCCGCCGGAGGGACGGGGGCCCTGGGGCATCTCCCTGACCCTGTGCGCCGCAGTGATGCCTGGGCGGGCATGTCCATTCACCGGAGGGCCACCTTGTCCCGACCCCACCAGACCCTGGGCAGCAGACAGGCTCCTGGGGTATCAGGTCTCCCGGGAGCCCTGGGGTGGGGTCCTGGGAGCCCCAAAACCCATCCAGGGACGCAAGTGCTGCCCGGGGGGGGTCCTGCGATGAGGAGCATCGAGCAGTCTGTGTGAACAGGGGCCCCCTCCCAGGCGGAGGAGGCCCATCCATGGGCAGGGGGGTCACGAGTCCTCCGCGCCCTGCTGAGCCCACGGACACAAGCCACGGGTCCACCCAAAGCTCAGAGACTCGGAGGCAGGGGTGGGCCTCGCACACCCTGTGGGCCCTGATGGAGAGAGATCACACAGAACAGGACCAGGGGCCCGGGCCCCACCCTGCCCGGATCCAAGTTTTATTTCTGCAGCAACCATGCTGTCTGCTTTGCTCAGCCTGGCCCAGCCCAGATGGGACCCTCTGAACCGCTCACCCTGCAACCTCACGTTACGAAACAGCCCCTGAAACCAGGTGACCGGACAGCAGCCCAAGCCGGGTCGTGGAGCTGACCTGCCGTGTGATCGCTCCGAACACAAGGGGCTCATTTCAAGGTGGACGCAAGCACTTCATGCTCCAGGGACACGGTGTTTTCCGAGGGGTCCTTTCCGGACAGGCTCCTTGCCAGGTGAGCCCCCAGGGCGGGCTGCTGCTGAGCGCATTCCTGGAAGCAGGGGCCCAAAGCCTGGAAGGCCTGGAGGCGCCCAGGACCTTGGTGGGGTGAGGCACGCCCAGCTCGGGACAGGCTGCTCATCTTGGAGGAGGTTGGGCAGGTCAGGGGGCAACGCCCAGGCCCAGCCCGGCCTGCACTCCCGGGGAAGCGGGGTTGGCCGGGTGGGGGCCTGGGGCGCCCTGCAGCCGGTACAGAGCCTCGAGCTGCCGGCGCTTCTCCTTGGCCCGGGTGACTGCCGTCTGGAAGAGCCGGCAGAAGAGCTGCACGGCCGGGGGCGAGTCGTCGTTGCCTGGGACGGGGTAGGTGATGAGGCAGGGGTTGCAGTTGGTGTCCACGATGCCCACAGTGGGGATGTTCATCTTGGCCGCGTCCCTCACGGCCACGTGGGGCTCAAAGACGTTGTTGAGCGTGTGCAGGAAGATGATGAGGTCCGGCAAGCGGACCTGGGGGCCCAGCAGGAGGGGCGCGTTGGTCAGCAGGCCGCCCTTGAAGTAGCGCGTGTGGGCGTACTCGCCGCAGCTCCGGGCCGTGTTCTCAATCAGGTGTGAGAACTGCCGAGCGCGGCTCACAAACAGGATGATGCCCCCACGGTAGGCCACGTGGGCCGTGAAGTTTAGGGCCAGCTGCAGGTGTGTGGCCGTCTGCTCCAGGTCAATGATGTCCTGGCCCAGGCGGCTCCCGAAGATGTACGGCTCCATGAACCTGCCGGACGCACGGCCAGCGTGAGCTGCCCGCGGCCACCTCCCCCCGCCCTCGCTCATCCTGCTCCCCTCCACCCTCCCGGGGCCAGTAATGTCTGCGGCCTTCCCTAGGACGACACGGTGAGGACCCCGCCCCAGGAGTGACCAACAGGGTGGGCTGGGCTGCAGGCCGTGTCCACGTCTCGGGCAAGAGGACTCTACCCTCTGAACCTGCACCTCGTCACGTGGTGACCCTAACAGAAGGGACCCCACACGGACGTCTGGACACTCACACGTGACGTCCAGTGTCCTGCCCAGGGCTGCCTGTCTGGCTGCGACCTTCGTCATTACGGCTTTACCACGGAGACCACCCAGGGCCGGGGGTGCCGGCTGGAGCAGGAGCCAGTCAGGCCTCAGAGGGGAACCCTGCGGGCCAGACCGGCCGGCCTGGGCAGAGGGGCTGGGTGCAAGACTGTCCCCTCGTGTTCCGTCTTCTCCCACCCCGTTCACGTTCCTGCTCACTGCTGCCTGGATTCTGTCCTCCCCACAGATGCTGCCCAAGGCCCCACAGGCCCAGCCGCCCTCAGCGCGGGGAGACTTCCGGGAGGAACCCCCAGCAGCGCACCCTCTCACTTCCTGGCCCCTCCTCCTCCCCCAGACTCTGGGATGCCGGTCACCTGGGCTCCTGCCCAGGGCCTCCCCTGCTCCTCTGCCCCACACATCCTCTGAAGGCCCTGATGTGGTGGCCCCGGCCCAGCCTGCTTCTTCCGAGTGTGCCTGTGTGATATCTCACTGTGGGGGCCAAAGCGTCACCCCATTCGGGACCTAAGTTTCTAACGTGAAGAACGCAGACACCTGCTCTGCTCGGCTCACCCCTATCACCCTAGGCCCAGCCACTGCTGCAGCTCTGCCCAAGGACCTGGCCACCCCCTTCCCTGCAGCCACCTTCCTCCCCCATCCCCCCTGTCCCCCCAGGCCACTCTCAGCCTGGCCCTCACAACGGCCACCTGAAAGGACGGCCAGTCCCCGCTCCTCTGCGTGCCCTTGGCACGTCCCTCGAAGAGGGTGGCCTTGCCAGGCCCCGTCCATTGACGGTTTACAGGACCAGCCAGCCTGCCCCTGCCAAGGACCATGAGCCCCACGGGGGCTTGTGGGGAAGCAGCAAGTTGATTCTGAGAATAAGCAGCCGTCCCTGCCGGGGGCTCCACAATTCCATACGAAGGAAAAGGGGGGTACACTCTCTGAAAACAAGCTAAAAAGAGGGGCCTGGGCCTCAAGGCAGGGGCCCCAAGCGCCCTGGACAAGCCACACCACCAGGGGCCACGCTCACCTGTGCCTACAGCCGGCTTTGTGGCCCAGGTGCACCCGTGCGTTAAAGAGACTTCTCACGGAAAACAGCTCCTTGACGTTAAAGAAGTCGGAGTGCTTGAGGGGCTCGCTCAGGATACGGGCGCTGAAATCTGGGCGGGGAGGTGGAGAGCACGCAGGCCCTGGGTCCCGGCACCCCAAAGCCTGTGGCCTGCGGAGGGCGGCGGCAGATGCTGGGGGTCCCCGGGGCCTTCTGCGGAGGCTCGGGGGAGGGAGACCGGATCTGACCATGGCTCCGCTCCCGGGTAAACCCGGCCACGTCCTCACCCGGCCAAGAGAAATCCGGCTGATGTCTGTGTCTGCGGCCCCCGTGGTCCCGACGGCCGCCCGCAGAAACTCCCTCAAGGCAGCAGTTCGGGACCCGCCGTCCTCGGCCCGCTCGGTGGCGGGGCGGGAACTCCAGAGGCCTTAGCAGCGCGTGCGGCTCCCCCTCCCAGGGCCCGCACCCCTTCCCGGGGCCCGCACCCCCTCCCGGGGCCCGCAGTCCCCAGGCCTGCGTCCCCCGGGGCCGTATGAAGACCCAAGGCGCCCGACCCCCCGGGCCGAGGGCCCCCTTACCGCTATCGCGCTCTGGCTCGGGGGCAGCGGCGGCCGCGGCGCTCCCCAGCGTCCTGCCTCTCGGCGCGGCCCGGCCTCGGGGCGCAGCCCGGACACCTACGCGGACAGCGGATTCAGGGCGCGCTCCCCGCCCTGCCCGCCCCCCGGCCCCGGAGAGGTCTCCGCCGCGCCCGCCACCCAGGGCCCCTCACCCGAGCCGAGCAGCCGGGGCAGCACCGCGCCAGACGCCATGGCGCGGATCCGGGCGGACGGACTGGGGGACGGAGGGACGCACGCACGCACGACGGGTCCCGGCGGCGCGGCCGCACGAGCGGCTCCTCCTCCCGCCGGGGCCCGCGCCGCTCTCGCCGCAGCGCCGCCCGCAGGCCCGGAGGTGCCACTGCGCTGCCACCGCCGCCTCGTCCAGAAGCCCGGCGCGCCCCCGCCGGCCTCCCAGAGTCCGAGCGCGCGGTCCTCTGGGAGCCGCACCCCAGGCCCGCCTGAGCGGAACCGCAGGGAGGGCGTGGCGGTCAGGGCCCGTGGTCCGGTCGGGCGCGGGGCCTAGGGGCCTGTCTCCCCGCCCCGTCCCCTGAGTCCCGGCGTCCTCGCCCCCTCCCTGCACGGGGCCGGGCGGCCGAGGAGCCCCCACTGCCCAGCTGTCCGTGGGGACCCGCCGGGCAGCGGGGCCGCGCTCCCGTCCGGCCAGTTCTTACAGCAGTATGTGGCTTAAAAGGGCTCCATCAGTTTAGTCCAGTGTGCTGTCCAGCCTCAGACCCAGGGTACCGGCGGGTCTGCAGGCGGAGTGGGGACGTCAGGGCGCAGCTTTGCCCGCGCGGTGGGCGCCGGGTCCCCGCAGCAGGGCGGCCTCGGAGCACCGAGCCCCCCTGATGAACCCGGGCCGGGGTCTCCGGTGCCCCGAGACCCGTCCCGCGTTTGGGGAAACGTGGCGTGCTTTCGCGCCGGTGGCTCCAGATCACAGGGGCCCCACACTGAGGCCCCAGCAAGTGATTCCTTATTCTCGCAGCCAGTCCAGGGCCTCGGAGCTCGCCAAGAAAGCTTCTAGAACTCGGACTTCTGCCCAACCCGCCGAAGGGGGTGTGGGGAGGCTCCCGCCCGGGGGTCGCGGCGCCTTTAAGGACCCCGCCCGCGCATCGGGTAGCTTGGTCGTTGCTTAGTAACAGGACGCCGCTCCGCCGCCCGCTCCTTCTGAGCCCCCAGAGCGCGGGGCGACCGAGGCGGGATGTCGGAGGAGGACCCCCAAGCATGCGCGGAGCCAGAGGAGCCCAAGGCCGGGCCCCCGCCGGAGAGAACCAGCGACTGCTACCGCGTGAGCGAGGACCTGCCAGCCAGGTTCAACAACCCGGCCTGGTTTCGGGGCTACAGGTGAGCACCCGGGAGTCCGCTCAGGGTCCGCCTTGCGTGCAAGCAGGAAAGACCAGTGCTCCTGGTCCAGCGGGCAGCCAGGTGTCTAACTGGGCCTGCGCTCAGCTCAGCCCACAGGCCCCAGCCTGACCCTGAGTCAAAAGCTGGGTCAGCGGATCATTATCACGGGAGCCGGGAGGTGCAGGTGAAGGCAGCGGGCCTCCCGCTCGGGCGGTGGGCGGGGCGTGTCCGGGGAAAGTCAGCACGCGGGCCGATCGCAGCCACACCCCTAGGGCGAGGCCAGCCTGCTGTCCTGTCCCGGAGGAGAGGGCCGGTCTGCTGGAGATGCGCGGGCGACGGGTCCATCACCCGACTGCCGAAGGGCGCGCGCCCTGCGGGCTCTAAGACACAGGCTGCGCGCCTTTCCTGACCCCCACTTAGTCCCTCTACAAGCCTCCGGATCGGCTCTGTTAGCATCTTCGTTTCCCAGCGGGGAAACGAAGCTGGGAGGTAGAAAGATATGCTCTTGCCCATAGTTAGTATGAGGCAGAGCTGGGGTGTCGGAGCCCACAGCCCCGAGGTTACACTGCTGTACCACTAGCTGATATCAGGGCTGGAGACGGCAGGAACATTTTCTCCTGGAGGCTCAGAAGTGGAGGGGCGGCACCCCACCCTCCGCCCCCCCCAAGTCTGGAGGCTGAGTCACAGATCCCAACTTACACACCCACCCGGGAAATGACAGCATTGGCCCAGGTCTTGCTGGGGGCCAGCACTTTCCACCTGGGAGTTCTTTAGGCTTTGGCAGAGGTCAGCAGAGGGGTCAAGGGAGGCTGAATGAACCTGCCAGGAAGGCCAGCCCTGCACCCCACGGGAGCCCAGGTTCACGGTTGCATTGCGCACCTACAAAGCTCTGTCAACCGAATACGGTAAAGCTGTGGCTTGGGCAAATTTAGAGCAAATTAGTGGAAAATAAAGTGTTCTTCTCATCTGCCAGGACCAAGGAGCCCCTCTCAGTGTACAGGACCAGTAACCAAGCTTATGGGAGCAGAGCCCCCACCGTGCACGAGATGCCGGTAAGGAGGAGGCGAGGAAGGGCACTGGGGGTGTGTGTGTGAGTGAGTATGTGTGTGAGTGTGTGAGTGTGTGTGTACGGTGTGTGTGTGTGCGTGCATGGGTGTGTGTGAGTGTGTACAGTGTGTGAGTGGGTATGTATGTGTGAGTGTGTGTGTGTGCACGTGTGTGTATGGTGTGTGTGTGTGTATGGTGTGTGTGTGTGTGTATGTGTGTGCGTGCACATGGGTGTGTGTGCGTGTGTACGGTGTGTGTGTGTACGGTGTGTGAGTGGGTGTGAGTGTGTGTGAGTGTGTGCATGCGTGTGTGTGTGTGTGTGAGTGTGTGTGTGCACATGGGTGTGTGTGAGTGTGTACAGTGGGTGTGTGTGCGCGCGTGTGTATGGTGTGTATGTATGGTGTGTGTGTGAGTGTGTGTGTATGTGTGTGTGCGCACATGGGTGTGTGTGTATGTGTGTGCGTGCACATGGGTGTGTGTGAGTGTGTACGGTGTGTGTGTGTGTACGGTGTGTGTGTGTGAGTGTGTGTGTGAGTGTGTGCGTGCATGTGGGTGTGTGTATGGTGTGTGTGTGAGTGTGTGTGTGCACATGGGTGTGTGTGAGTGTGTACAGTGGGTGTGCGCGCGCGTGTGTATGGTGTGTGTGTATGGTGTGTGTGTGTGCGCGTGTGGGTGTGTGAGTGTGTGTGTGTGGGTGTGTGTGGGTGTGTATGGTGTGGGTGTGAGTGTGTGTATGTGTGTGTGCACATGGGTGTGTGTGTGTGTATGTGTGTGCGTGCACATGGGTGTGTGTGTGTACGGTGTGTGAGTGTGTGTGTGTGTGTGAGTGTGTGCGTGTGTGCGTGTGTGTGGGTGTGGGTGTGTGAGTGTGTGTGTGCACATGGGTGTGTGTGTGTACAGTGGGTGTGTGCGCGCGTGTGTATGGTGTGTGTGTGTGCGCGTGTGGGTGTGTGAGTGTGTAGGTGTGTGTGGGTGTGTATGGTGTGTGTGTGAGTGTGTGTGTATGTGTGCGTGCACATGGGTGTGTGTGAGTGTGTATGGTGGGTGTGTGTGCGCGCGTGTGTATGGTGTGTGTGTATGGTGTGTGTGTGCGCGCACGTGGGTGTGTGTGAGTATGTATGTGAGTGGGTGTGTGTGTGTACGGTGTGTGAGTGGGTGTGTGTGTGTGTGAGTGTGTGCGTGCATGTGGGTGTGTGTGAGTGTACGGTGTGTGTGTGCACGTGTATGTATGGTGTGTGTGTGCACGTGTGTGTATGGTGTGTGTGTGTGTGCGCGCGTGGGTGTGTGTATGTGGGTGTGTGTGGGTGTGTATGGTGTGTGAGTGGGTGTGAGTGTGTGCGCGCGTGTGGGTGTGTGTACGGTGTGTGAGTGGGTGTGTATGTGTGAGTGTGTGTATGGTGTGTGTGTACGGTGTGTGTGTGTGCGCGCGTGTGTACTGTGTGTGTGGGTGTGTATGGTGTGTGTGTGAGTGTGTGTGTATGTGTGTGCGCGTGCACATGGGTGTGTGTGAGTGTGTACGGTGGGTGTGTGTGCGCGCGTGTGTATGGTGTGTGTGTATGGGGTGTGTGTGCGTGTGTGTGTGTACGGTGTGTGTGTGTGCGCATGTGTATGGTGTGTGTGTGTGTGCGCGTGGGTGTGAGTGAGTATGTATGTGAGTGTGTGGGTGTGTGTGGGTGTGTATGGTGTGTGTGTGTCCTGGAGTTCCAACATCACAAATGGAAAGGGGTCACCTCAAATCTCTTTGGAACAGGGACAGGGTAGAAATAAATGAATGACTGAATTTAGCAAACAATTTCTAAAGGTTGGGAAAGGGGTATGGTAGGCTTGTTTGCGTGTATGTGCTTGCTCAGCTGTGTCCAACTCTTTGGGACCCTATTGACTGTAGCCTGCCAGGCTCTTCTGTCCTTGGAATTTTGCTTGCAAGAATATACTGGAGCGGGTTGTCATTTCCTCCTCCAGGGGATCTTTCCAACCCAGAGATCCAACCCGTGTCTTTTGTGTCTCCTGCACTGGTTGGCGGCTTCTGTACCAGCTGAGCCACCGGGGGAAGCCCGTAGCCTGGTTTACAACATCCCAAAGGACTGGCCCCATTCATTCATACGACGAGCCAGCTCTTGTAGGCAGTAGGTTTTGAGGCAAATAAATGAAGAACTGCTTTCATATTGGAGTAATACCTTATCTTATGAGATTAACCTGTGATCCTAAGAGGCAGCACTGGATGATGAAATCTCAGGTTCCAAAAGGACCGGGGTCCGTGCACCTTTGGGGAACCTGAGTCCTTTTTGATTGACTTCACATGGCAAGGGGCCTCCTCGAGCCCTCCGACGGCCCTGCTGCATCCAAGGAGAAGGGCCGGTGGGCTGGTGTGAGCCACCCCTGGGGACCCCAGACAGTGGACCACCCGCTTGGGGGGCCATGTTGGTTTTCTTCAAAATATTCCTTATTTTTTAAAACTAACTGTGGTTTACTTGTTTGACTTAGACTGTGCGGGACCCTTGTTGCCACACACGCTTTTCTCTGGTTGCGGCGAGCGGGGGCTGCTCTGGGTGGTGCTGTGGGGGCTTCTCACAGCGGCAGCCCCTCTCGATGCGGACCACGGGCTCCAGGCGCACGGGTTTCGGTAGCTGTGGCCCCGGGCTCTAGACACAGGCTCAGTAGTTGTGGATCATGGGCTCAATTGCTCTGAGGCATGTGGCGTCTTTCTGGACCAGAGAGCGAACCCATGTCTCCTGCACTGGCAGGCAGATTCTCTACCACTGAGCCCCCAGATATTCCTCATTTTAAAAGATCTGGATAATTGCTTCTTTAGTTGTTTTGCGTGAGGGAGTACAGCTCTTAACAAAAAAGAGATTGTTTACCTAGAAAGTTTCCAGAGCACTAAAGGTCTTGCTCCCAAAGCCAAGGGATCAGGTATTTCCATGCAGAAGACCACCATGCTCGCTAACACAGGCCCGGATGTTTTGCTTTCGTGAAAAGGCCATTTGCTGGTCTTTCGAGGCAGAGGCAGTGGGCCGTGAAGCAGGGGGTTCTCACGAGGCAGGTTTAGAAGGAGCTTTTCCTGCTGATGGGCGACCTGCTTTATCTGGAGCCTGGTTTCCAGTTTCCTGGCCTGAGTGTGGCCGCTGGACTCGTCGAGCAGGACTGTTTCCTTCCCGTGTAGGAACAGAAAATAAAAATGTGTGTTTTGCGCTTTACAACACATACTGCAGGAAACTGTTCTTCCTGACGCTGTAATGGTGGATACATGTCATTCCTTATCCCTTTTGTTACACCCAGAGTGTACCGCTCGAAAAGTGGACCCCAATGTGTGGTGCTGACTCGGTTAATGAGCCCCCGCCCACACTGGCTCAGTCGTTCTACGCGCTGCGCTGATAAGACACACGCACCACGGCAGCTGTGTGTTCTGCAGGGAGGCGAGTGGGAGCCGCTGCTCTGGGAAATAAATGCACTGGGGACGCCCTGGAGGCCTAGTGGTTAGGACTGCGTGCGTCCACTGCAGGGGTCGAAAGTTCGCTCCCTGGTTGAGGAACTGAGATCCCGCAAGCTGCACGGCAAGGCCCATAAAACCTCTAAAAACCAACAAAGCAAAACCAAACACAAAACACCAAGAAACTAACACACACACACACACAAAACATCCAAAAAACCCTCCAGAATCCACTGAAGGCCATTTTTCTTTGCATCTGCTTCCTGTCGAGGAGACAGAATATCAGGTGGCCTTCTTGACACAGGGGGACTCTAGAAGAGGTCGCCTGTCCCACAGTAGTCCGGGCCCCTTCCGTCAGAGACCCCCAGGTCACCTGGCGATGTTGCGTTGCTGAAATGACCGCCACCCTGGGTGCCCGCACACACGGGTGGCCTCCTCCGTGTCCTCACAGCAACCCCACCTCGCAAGGGCAGCCCCTCCCGAGCCCCTCGGCAGGTGGGATGGGGCCCCCAGAATGGTTCTAAGGTTCTGCAAAAGATTCTGGTTCCCTGTCAAGGCTGAAACCTGAGTACGTCATTTCTTTTCCACAGAATGCTCAGGCTCAGAGACGTCCAGTAACTTGGCCTAATTGGCAAAAGCAGAGCTGGGGACGGCGTGGGGCCTGACCCCCTGCAACCAGAGCCGGATGGCGGTGCCCGCCCGGGTGTCACAATCCACGTAACGGTGGAGGGGGGCACTGTTCACCATGACTCCCCAGCATTAGGCATAAACTGGGGCGGCCGTGGTGGTTTAGTCGCTCAGTCGTGTCTGAGTCTCGTGACCCCATGGACTGCAGCCCACCAGGCTGCTCTGTCCCTGGGATTCTGCCGGCAAGCATACTGGAGTGAGTCGCAGTGCCCTCCCCCAGGGGATCTTCCCGACCTGGGGGGTCTCCGTCATCGCAGGCAGATTCTTTACCGAGTCTCCAGGGAAGTCCAAGGGCAAACGAGGCCATTCTGCAGACCCGCCCCCACCCGCCCCCCGGCCTCTCTGTTCTCTAGTTTTAGGAACAACATTTTCTCACAAATCCTTATTTTTCTTCCAAAAGTGCGGGATGACTGACGCTCGAAAGTTACCACGTGTCACTAATCCCAGTGTCCCCTTCTCACTTCCAGAAGGTGTTTTATCCAAATTCGTATAAGTTTTCCAGACAAGTTGCAGCGGGTGGAATGTTCCAGAACAACACGCTCAATGTCTACATGGAGAAGAGCATCGTGACGGGTCCCGACAACTATATCACCTCCTACGACCGGCTCAACTTCCACCCCAGCTACAGAGTCTGCAGGCCGTCCATCTGTGACTGAGGGGCTCCCGGCTCCTCCGGACGGCTGTCTGCCCCAGTCCTTGGTGGTTCGCCCCGTCATAAAGGGACGCACTTCGCGACTTTCCCCGAAAACACCTTTCCTCTCTAGATGAGCTGGCAGACGGGGCGGCGATGCTCTGCTTTCTCTGTTTTACACCTGAGATGAAAGAGCCGATGGCTTGACTTTCCATTAAAAATCTTGCCATGTCCTCGGTTCCTGAGTCATCTGCGATCCAGGTGCAGGGCACTGGGTGTCCCGAGACCCCGAGCTCGGCCTGGATGCTGGGAATGCCTGGAGCACTCCACCTGCGTCTTAATCAGGATGCATCTTTGTTTTTATCCTCATGACAGATTGTGGGGTTTTTCTGTTCTCAAGTAGCCTGCTGGGCTGCGGTGGGAGGGTCGGATCTGCCTGGGGTGTGGATGAGAGCCGGGTGAGGGAGCAGGGGCTCCCTGGAGCGGGGAAGGCTCCAGGCGGGACTGGGAGAGCCCAGGCCAGGCTCAGAGAGACCCTGGGCACTCCCTGGCCACTGGGCACTCCCTGGACCCTGGGCACTCCCTGGCCATGAGCAAGGAGTGACTCTGAGCACTCCCTGGCCACGAGCAAGGCCCAGGTGGAGGCAGAAAGAAGGCTGGCTTGTTGCTGAGGGGTGGTGTGTGCGTGGGGGCTCCCTCCGGGAAGACCGTTGGTGGGGGTGATAACCACACAAGGCTTCCCAGGGGGGCTCAGTGGTAAAGAATCCTGCCCGCGTGGGAGGCGTAAGGGACGCGGGTGTGACCCTGGGTTGGGAAGATGCACAGGAGGAGAAAAGGGATTGTTGCTTGAGAAACCCCACGGACGGGAGCCTGGCGGGCTACAGTCGTGGGGCTGCAGAGAGTCGGACACGCCTGAGCCTCTGAGCAGTAACTACATGAAGTGGGTGTCTATCTCTGTGTACTTACTTCTCAATCAACATTCACTATGGTTTAGACCGTCCTCAATGAGCATTTTCTGGGGCTTCCCTGGTGGTCCAGTGGTTAAGAATCCGCCTTGTGGTGCGGGGGCACTTGGGTTCTATCTGGTGTGCCCCACCCGTGAGCCCACGCACCGCACTACAGAGTCTGCGAAAAACCCCGCGTGCCGCAGCGAAAAGTCCATCACAACTAAGACCCGAGGCAGCCGCATAGCTAAACATTAAAACCATCTTCTCCGACAGGATGTATGTTCCAGACATCGATCCCGCTTCCCTTATGACTCCTTGTTATGGGAAACCTGGGAGGTGTTGGGACCAGAGAGACGAAATGGTTAAAGACTTGATGCTGCTTTTTTACTGAGGTTTTTATCCAAAGAGAGTTTTTACTCACGTATGAATTTGGGAGGAAATGAAATACCATGACCAGTTATCTCTTTATTAAAAACTTTGTGAAGCAAAAGCAAGCATTTCAGCAACATTCTTAAGGTTCCATTTGCAGTGGCAATGGTTTCTAGAGAAAATCAGCCCCTTGAATTGAAGCGATACAAAGCTGAGGCTGGCGCCAGGGTCTCCTGATAGGTCACACCCTTCTCCTCTGCTGGAGAACCAGCACAGACTCCAGGCATCAAGCTGAAAACGCATTTTTCACAGCTTGTCACCAAAAATAGCAAAATACTCAGAATGCTTCTGCATTCTACCTCTGTTGAAATACAAAAGGGGGGATAAAAAGAGCGCATATCAGTCCAGTTCTGAAGCTCCACGGAAGAGGAGCATCGCTTCCTTCGCCCTGGCCGGAAACGCTGAGTGCTCAGGGCGGACGCGGCCGTCCGGCCCGGGACTGTCTGCCCCGCAGCCTTGACCGTGAGCAGGGCACTCTGGGCCCGGACAGCGTGCGACGGCCGGGGCCCAGGCTGGGCCGGTAAGTCGAGCCGACGTCCACAGACACAGGAGGTGCCAAGCGCGCCGGTGAGCTTCAGCGAGTTAGTGCTGGCATCAGAGTCAGGTGGTGCAGTGCTTTCACTAATCCCCACAGCCGGTCTCCAGTGTTTCTGAACCAGCTGCTAATGAGTTAATGGGAAGTTAGACTGTACAGTGAATAAATGTCTGGAAAGGTGGACGACAGAAATACCTTTTGTATCACGCACGTACCCATCTTCCTGAGAAATCACCCACAGCCTCCGGCTCAAGCTCCCGGTCTGCACACCCTCCTGGGGCCTGGGCCGCTGCGAGCCGCCCGTCAGCCACGGGTCTCCCACCCATCTGCGGTCTCACGGTTTTCAGAGGGCTTCGACGGCGTCGCCTCGTCCGATGCTCATGCCTGCAGCAGGTCTTACTCCACCTCCCTCTGTGGATGGGGAATTAGGGTCCAGAGGGGCTGCCCTGTCGCAGGCCCTGGGCCCCGCCTTGGTGGTGCAGGGGGGAGGGTCCTGGGAGGGACAAGGCCATCGGCGTCGGACCCCACAGAACCTCCCTGACTTCCTAGTTTTGCATGAGTCACACAGGAACTCCAGTGATTACCATGAACTCTATCCTTTTAACATACTTTCAAACTGCAATCTTTATGTGCTGAGGGAAGGGAAAAGAGTTTAGATTGACAGGATGATCTCTCTCTTTTTTTATTGACAGGATGATCTTACGGCACAAGCCCTGTGCCTTCTATCCGGGGTAAAAGCACACAGAACGGTTGGTTGAAAAATGGGAAGAAAATCACTCTTCTGACTACTGTGCTGAGATCTTTCAAAATCTTAAATCCAATCAGAGCAATTACAGGAAAGGGGATCGAAACACTTAGGGTAACAAACACCAGTTTCCGCTGATTATTACATCAACTGCACGGCCATAGAGAAACACTGTCTCCACTCACGAGATGCTGTATCTGGCCTCTCTGATACACTCTTAAATGAAACGTTGACAGTTTCACGGCACTTTTCTCATCACTTAATTTAGCTGCTGAGTCGGCCTAAAACCAGGAACTTCTTACTCCAGAAGTGTATTTTCATGTGTTTCCCTATTTTTCTTCAGTGATATTTCATCTTTTATTTATAGTTGATTAGAGTAAATGGTTTCAAATAATAGTAAAATATGTTGATGTTGGGAAGACAAATCCCTCTGTCCAGCACACAAAACAGCAGAGATCTCAAAGATTAAAAATACAGATAATGTATTTCCCTCCCAGGCAGCCTTGCCTGGTACTGGCCTGGAGGTGGTCTGCAGATGGCGAGGGTGGCATTTGTTGCTGTTTGTCCCCGTCTACACCGGCCCTTAAGTGAATTCTGAGGAAGGGGTGGGGTCAGGGTGGCAGCGCTTTCTACATGAGCAGATAAACTGCTGGTGTTTAAGCCGAGTGTCCGGGGCGTTCCTGGCGGTCTAGTGGTTAGGACCCTGCCTGCCAACGCAGGGCACAAGGGCCGGATCACTGGTTCAGGAGGCTCCCACACGCCACGGAGCCACGGTGACTGAGCCGGCACGCCCGGAGCCCGGCTCCACGGCAGGACAGGCCACCGCAGTGAGGACCCGGAGCACTGTGACCAGGGGCGACTCCGCTCGCCGCCACCAGAGGAAGCCCATGAGCAGCAAGGGAGGCCCAGCAGAGCCGAAATAGGAACAGTAATTAAAAAGAGCAACTAAACTCAGTGCTGGGTTCCCAGGCTCCGCAAACCCTGCTGACAACTCGGATTCTGAGCAGCAAACCTAGGAGTGACTTCTCTCGAGGAAGAGCCTGTCCTCTGCGCGGACACGCGGGTGGTGAGCGCCGGACGCTCACCCCCGGGGCTCTCCCCTCTCCCACTCCACTCCTGCTGTGTTAGGACTTCTGACGTGGGGGGGTTCCAGCAGAAACCCAGGGCAGCAGACCTCCGCAATCGGGTCTCCCCCAGCTTTGCGTTACGGGGAATAAACCTGTGGCCCAGCATGCAGCCTCCCCCCTTCACTGGGAAGCGAGAGGGGTCCTTGGGGTCGGACTTCTCTGTAGGCCCCCCACCTTTTAAGTCTTTTCCTTCTGGCTGTGCGGGGTCTTCGTTGCCGTGCAGGCTTTACTCCCGTTGCCGCGAGCGGGGGCTGCTCCCTCTTTGCCGTGCGTGCTTGTTGCTGAGCACCAGCTCCGGGGCCCTCGGGCTTGTTGCTGCAGTTCCCGGGCTCCAGGGCTCAGGCTCAGCAGCCGGGAGCCCGGGCTTAGTTGCTCCGTGACAGGCGGGATCCCCGCAGACCAGGGAGTGGCCCTGTGTCCCCTGCACTGAGAGGCGGATTCGTGACCACCGGGCCAGCAGGGAAGCCCTCCTCTGCAGGTCTCGGGACTTTCGGCTTGCTCTGGCCACACGCCCTCCCCAGCCTCTTCTTACGGGCGGGGGAGGGGGCGGGCATCGGCCACCCGGAGCGCTGGGACCCATGGACGCGAAGTGGGGCCGGGACCAGCGGAGGAGCTGGGCTGGGGCTGCAGATGAGGCCGTCACTTCTCAGCCAAGCTCCCGCCGCCCCCACGGCAGCGCCCCACTTAAAAGAAATTGCTTAGCTCTGGCCGTGCCGGGCCTGCGTTGCCGTGTTCGGGCTTTCTTGAGTCGAGGCGCGTGGGCTCCCGTTTCTGTGGTTTCTCTTGCTGGGAGGCACAGGCTTTAGGCACACAGGGTCAGTGGTTGTGGGGCCTGGGCTCAGGCGGCCCTCGGCCTGTGGGATCTTCCAGGACGGGGATCAGACCCCATGTCCCCTTCGCTGGCAGCTGGATGCCACGCCAGCCCCCTTTGCATACAGGCTGCAGGACCTCCCACCTTGGCCCCAGGGAGCGACAGAGTTGACCGTGGCGGGGGGCGGGGCGGGGGGAGTGGGAAAACAAAAGCTTTTATGCAGCCTGGCTTGTGGGCAATCCAGGCATGGGCCCACGCTATCATGGTTATGACCAGTTCGTGAAAACCAGGCATGGCCTGCACTGCCCAGGAAGCACCCAGCACAGGGGTGGGGAGGCTGGGGGAGAGGAAGGAGGGGAGGGTCTGGGGGGCGGCGATGGGGCCAGGAGCAGAGAGGTGCCCACGGCTCAATCCTTGATGGCAAGGGTGGAAGCCCGGCGGGTCCCGGACGCTGGGTCCTCACGCCAACATCCTGCAAAGGCCACGCCGCAAAGGACAGACCACATCAACTGAGGTGTGAGCAGTGCCTGATTTATTAGCATTAAAAAAACCCAGTTCATATATACAAAACAAGCTGATTCCTGTTGTCAAGTGTTAAAAGCACTCCTTTAAAATTAAATACAATTTAAAGCATGGATTAATGAGTTGTTTTCCTGGGAAGCACTTAAGTGAATGAATATCTGCCAACGGAAACGTCAGATGCACACCAAGTGGGCACCAGGGGGTCACGGGATCCACAGGCCTGCTCACCACAGCGTCTGACCCCGGACACGGCAGGTGCCACACACATCCCCAGTGGGTATTCCCGCTAAGACCCAGGGCGGGGACACGACCTGTGAAAATTCACTTGCACTTAGAATAACGACCAACTTCAGCGGCACCTTAAACCTTGCCCCAGGCCCACCACAGCCACAGCGATGAGCTGTGACACTCAGGGTGGCCGCACGGCTCGCTGGACAAACACATGTGAACACCCACGCTCGGCCGCGGGCCCCGCGGCAGCTGTGACGCGGAAGGCGCAGGGCCCCAGGCTCGTCCCGGCTGTGCGTGGCGTCGTCAGGCAGACATGCCGAGAGCACGGGGCGGACGGGCACGCCTGCCCGCTGCCGGAGCCCACCCCACCCCACCCTGCCCAGTCCCCGCTGGGCTCGGGCCCCGGTCCTCAGGACTCCAGGCACCAGCCGCTCCGCGGGCACGGATGAGGATGAGGACATTGGAAACACACGGGCTGGCTGAGACCATCCGGAGCTGTGATTAAACGTGAAGGACGGCAGCTTCCGCATAGAAAGGGGTTTACTGAGCTGGTGGAGTCGTGTCAGAACTGAGAAGGACTGGACGCCGAACCACAGAGGCTCCAGGTGTGAACGGCTGGCCGGCGACCTCACCGGGGGTCTCGGCGTGCGCCCCGGGCGGCTGGTATGCCCGCCGGCCTTTGTGCTTTGAAACGCTCTTCCGCTTGAGGGCCCTGTCGGGCCTCTGCGGGGGGAGGCGGGGGCTCTTTCACGTGAGAAGTGCTGGCCGGCAGCGCCCTGACGGGGACTGCTGGGGTGTCTGGTGAGTCTCGGGAAGGGCTCCGGCTGCTGGCTTCCTGAGGCTGGCACTGTGGCCGCAGCAGGCCCTGCCCACCGGTGGTCAGCCCCGAGCACGGGGATGCGCGGAACCGAATGTCCGCTGATCCCAGACTCGTGTGGAGACCATGGAAAACCGCTGCGAGGAAAGCCCGGCAGGATCCAACAGCGGCATTCATCAAAAATAGTTTTTACAGCACTTTAAATAATTTACAAAAAAGGCTACAAAAATCATATTTACCAGGACACATCTGTTAAATAAAAACACGGTTTCACATTAGTGTACAAATGTACAGGCTGCATAGGGGCCTCCAGGGCCCCGTTCCATCAGGAGCGTGGCCGCGGGGCGCACGCGCGTGGTGCTCACAGCTGCAGTGCCGGGCCCTGGGCCGCGGGCCCGCTGCCCTCCTCCACAGACGTGTCGCTGAGCTCGCTGGCGTCGCTGCCCAAGGCCTCTGGCTCCTCTTCGTCTCTGTCCAGCCCGAAGCGCCCGAAGCGCAGGTCCAGGATGCCCTCTTCCGGCCCCGAGCCCCTCCTGTCGGACAGGCCGAGCCCTGCCCGGGGCTTCCTGCAAGGCCAGCGGCCGCTCTCCTTCACCAGCAGGCGCGGGCTTCCGAACACTGGGCCGCGGGCGGCCTGGGCCTCCCGGAAGGCTGAGAAGGACGGGCCCTGCAGGGGCAGGCCCAGGCCGGGGCTGAAGAGGCCGGCCTGCTTGGTGCCCCAGGGCACGCACTTCCCGAAATGGAACAGCTGCGTGGAGAGCAGCGGCGAGAAGCCGGTGAAGGGCAGGCCCCTCTGGGGGTCCACGGCGAGGCTGGGTGAGCCCCGGGCCTGGCTCCCCGGCCCCTTCTCCCTCTGGCCGCCAAGGCCCCCTCTCCACGTGGCCGCGTCCTTGCCTCCCGGGCCCAGCACCCAGGTGCTCTGCGGCCGGCTCTGGGGGGCGAGGCCGGCCCGGGGCGCCCCGTCCCGCTCGGAGCCCGGGGTCCGTGCCAGTGAGCCACGGCCCTCTGCCCAGGCGCCAGCCTCCGCGCGGCTCGGGAGCTGGCCGAACGTGCCCTCCCCCGCGTCCCCCTCGGGCCCCCTGGGCCCTGAGTCTCTGGGGGCACAGCTGCTCCTCCGGGGGGCCGGCGCCCCTCTGGCAGGGGCGGCCCTGCTGGTGCTCCTGGGTGGCGCCAGCTCGCGCCAGGCCAGGGTGGCCGGGGGGCAGGGCTGCTCGGGGTGCGGGCTGCCCCCACCGCCTGGAGTGAGGGCTCTTCCCGGCCCCCGGGGTCCCTCGGACCCTGGCTGCAGGCCCCCTCTGACCCTCTGGCTCCGTGTGCACACGCCTGGCTGGGCGGCTGGGCCCGGGGGCTGTGCTTTCCGGCCCTGGAGCTCTGGCCTGGCCCCACTCACAGTTCCCAGGACGGCCAGGCCCCCTCCTGGAATTTCTGATCCGCTCACAGACTCCTTGGCCTTTTCGGCCAAAAACTTCCTGATCTCCAGCTCGATGCTGTCGTCACTGTCTACAGAGCTGCTATCATCAGACAGGGAGCTGGGGCTTTCGGCGGGACGGGGAGGCTCGCGGGCTTCTGACTCCCTGGAGAACAGACCCCCGGCCGCGGCCCTGCCCCGGGGCCAGGGGGCAGAGGGGCCTGAGGGTGCGTCCTCCGGGCCCGAGCCGTCTGCCTTCGCCCCTGCTGTTTCCCGGGAGGGGACGCGCGAGGGTCTCCCTGGGGTCTCCCTGCTGGACTTGCAGAGACAGCTTTTCAGCAGGTGGGGGCTTCGGTCTCTCCAGTCCTTCTGGAAGCCCCCCAGCTTGTCCAGGAACTGCGTCTCCGTGGTGCTGAAGCGGACCCTCTTCTTGCAGCCAGCCCGGGTGTCCCTGCACCTCTTCCGGAGCCGCCGCTTGGAGCGCAGCAGGTCCTTGATGGCCGAGTCCAGGTCCGCGTCGCTGTCCAGTGAGCTGCTTTTCTCCTCGGAGCTCGCGTCCCCGCGCCTCCCCTCGGCCGTCTGCCCAGGGCCTGGCGGTGCGGCTCCCGGCGGGTCCGGGGCGACGAGCTTGTCGCCCGGCCCGCCCGTCTTGAAGGGGGGAGGCTGGCTGCGGCTCTCGCCCTCCTTTCTGGGGGCCTCAGGGGCTCGCCCCTGGCCAGGCTGCACTCGGCCCTGGCCGCGCTCGGCGTCCTGGGTGTCCTGCGTCTCGGCCGTGTCTCTGGGCTGCCTGGGCATGCAGGGCATCCTGCCGCGCCTCCTCCTGCAGCCGGGGGACGGGTCTGGGGTGCTGGAGGCTGGGGTGCTGAGGCTGGGCGGCAGGGGCGGGCTGTGGGCGGGCCGGGCGCAGGTCTCCATGCGGGGCAGCGGGCCCCCTGACTGCGCCTTCAGGGCCAGGAATGTCCGGATCTCCCGCTCGATGCTGTCGTCACTGTCCACTGCGCTGCTGTCACCGTCGGGGTGGGGAGGCCTGTCGGGGCCCTCGCGCAGCGGACTGGTAGGCGGGGGCCTTTCCCCACCGTCCACGGGGGCCGGCAGGATGGTCTTGGAGATGTCCAGGATGGCCTCGGCGCACATCAGCTCGGCAGACGCGTCTGCCTGGTGTGGGGACCTGTCCACGCCCGGGGTCCCAGCAACCGCGCTCCCTGGAGGCGCAGGAGCCGTGGTTTCCCCGGGGGGCCTGGGCGGATGGTTGGGGTCTGGGCCGCCCGGGCTGAGGTCTGTGGCCTTGGGGGCCGCTGGCTTCTTTTTGCCAGGGGTTTTGCTGTGGGCCTCGGGCCAGGCGCCCCTCAGGCCGTGAGCAGGGGCCGTGGGGCCCTTCTCCTCTGCGGGCGGGGACCCCTGCTGGCCCGCGGCCTCCCGCCGCCGCTCCCGCTGGTACAGCCGGATGGCCTCCTCGATGCCGTCGTCGCTGCTCGAGTCTGGCTCCTCGTGCACCAGGGCTGCACCCCTCGGCCGCCTGCCCTTCCGTGCGGAGCCCACGGCCCTGCGGACCCCAGCTTTACCCGGTGTGGCCTCTGCAGGGGGCCCCGTGGTGGCGGCAGCAGCAGGCTCGGCGGCGACCTTGCACCTGAGGCCTCTGGGCAGGGCGCTGGCCTTCGCGGACCTGGGCAGCTTCCGGAAGACGAACTCCTTGCCGGCTCCCAGCAGGCCCTGCTGCGGTGCCTTCAGCGGCGGCTCTCTGCCAGGCCTGCAGGCCGCTCTGGCCACGCTGTCGCCGGGCTCTGCCTTTCTGCCGGCAGGGAGGTCACCTTTCTGTAGCCTCTTCTCGCTCAGGAACTGTTCGATCTCCGCCTGGATGCTCTGTTCGAAGGAGTCGTCGCTGCTCACGCTGAGCGGGGAGGCGGAGCCCCGGACACGGTCGGGGCCAGCTGCAGGGTTTGGGGGACACGGGGCGGCTGGGGCACCGCTCAGAGGTGGCTCCGGTCTGCACCGACGGGCCACGTCCCCGGCTGCAGGCGGCGGGGCGGCCCCGCTTTTGGCCCTGAGGTACTCCTGGATGGCTTCCTCGATGTCTCGGTCCACCGAGTCGTCGCTGTCCGAACCCGGCACCAGGGGCCCGAGGTTGGAGGCCTCCTCCTCCTCCCCCTTGGCGTCAAGACCCGCGGCAAGACCACAGGCCGCAAAGGCGGGGCTGGCGGCCGGTCGGGCGCCCCGGCCCCTCTCCGCCCTCTGGCTTCTCGGCCGGGCATGCTCGCCGCTCATGCCCAGGGCTGCCCCGTCGCCCTGAAGCCTGCTGATGGCCATCTGCACCTTGGCGCTCACCGCTGCTCTCGAGACGCCCTCTCTGGGCTCCGAGAAGCATCTGGGAAACCTACAGCTCCCGGGCGGGCCGAAGGCCTCCCATGCGGACCGCAGGGCCAGCACAGGAGGCGCGTTCATGAGAAACATCCTAGCGGGCGCGCGCAGAGGCGGGGCTTCTCTTCTCCCCCGCTTCACATCCTGCAGCTGGGCACGCCGGACGGGCGCCCCGGGTCAGGTGGCGCGGGAGCCACAGGCCCCCGGGGCTCAGCTTCCTCCGCTGTACGGGGCCAGTGGCCGAGGAGACTCATGAGAAAATGCTTCCGAGTGCCCTGGGCCGAGCTCGTGGAAGCTGACACGGGTATCCTTCCGCCGTCATCCCTCCGTCCATCTTCTCCCGTAAAGGAGCAGAGGCGTGGTTTACCTTCTGAAGTCGTCAAGAACGGGCCACGGGGTGAAGACGCAAAGCCTCTGGGCGGGTGGAAAGGTCGACTGGGGGAGTCAGGGTCAGCGACACATCACGGGTTGGTTGACTCTTGACACGAACCAGCAGCTCCTGAAAACAGAAGTTAAGTGATGTGAGCACCTAAACGCCTTTGAAGAGTAATTTACACAAAAGCCTTTTTATTGGAAAAGGTTGAATGTGTATTTGCCAGATGATCAGGGGACCGTATGACTATTTGCATGGAATTAGCACAGATACTGCCCCAAACAGTCACGTGCCCTTTCTCAGGCTGTGTGCCTTCTCCGCTTTCTGCATCTCAGTCCAAACGTGGCTGGGCTGGCAGAACCGCTGGGCTGCCCTTGGGAACACAGTGAGGACTTGCTCCGAAAGGCCTTTACACTGGAGGTCTGGGGCCACCGCCACGGAGGGGACATAGCGCAGGTTGTACACAGTGGGGTAGAAAGACGCAAAATACACCATTAACTATCAATCCCGAACACCTCTCTCCGCCCTCTCCTGACCCCTCCCCCCCCCCCCCCAAACTGGGACGCAAAGCGACCGAGATGCAAGAGGAGAGCTTGGCTCCTGGAAGCAGGGTAGTCGAGTTCCAACCCCAAACGGCGCTGGGCCAGGCTGACGCTGCCTGGGAGCCTGGGGGTGGGGGTGGCCGGAAGTGGCCTGGGTGTTTGCTTTGCTTCCCTGCAGATCTTTCTCCCGGAGGAGCTTCCTTTCTGACGAGCACAGAATCCTGTGTTTACACACCACAGTCCTTTCCAAGAAAGCCTGGCCCGGCCACCTAGGCACAGACGTGTCCAAACAGGTGTGACCAGCAATTAAGCAGAGGGTGTGACCAATTCAGAAGGAAGTCCTTTGCTATGGCTATTTATGCTCAAAAAGTGAAACTGCAACATCAAAGAATTTGCTACAATTACCTGTGATTCTTTTCAAGTCCAGGTTCAGTATAACATTTGCAGACGGTTCAGGGACTGGGTCTTCATCTCCCTACGTGTACTCTTTAGCATCTTGGGCCCACTTTTTAAATAGACTTTTGACTGTCAGGATTAAAGAGAATCAGAGACTTAATTCAGAGGCTGAAACTATAGCTGGTAAATATTTGGGGGGAAAGAAAGTGCATTAATTTAAGGGCTCGAAATTCAACTTTGGAAGAACTTACCCTGAGGCCAAATACAGTTAACCACAACAATTAATAGTTCCAATTCCCCTGAGCCATTGGTCTGATGTACCAGGACACACATGGCTGGGGATGTGAGAAGGCACTTCCAAGTCCTCAGATGGAGCCCCCACGACAGCCGGTGGTCTTTCCAACAGCACCACACTCCAAGGAGATTCCCCCCTAAGGACAGTGGGGGCCAACAATGCCGAGGGGGAGGGCTCTTCCACTGGGCTTTGCCCACCTCACTGTGGTCATTATTCAAGCTGCCCTGGCAAAATAACACAGCATACAAGACATCCCCAGAGGCCTTCTGAGTCTAGATCAGGAATGTTAACTCGATGAACAGCAGTGCTGTCTGAAGAAGAGGCCTGGGGATGGATCCCGGTGAGCCAGGCTGCAGTGACTTCCTACTCCAGGCAACAGAGGGTGCAGGAGGGAAAAACGCTCCTCTCTACTCCTCACCTTGACTGTGGTCACTGCTTCTAAATGACTTGTCTCGAGCCCGGACTCCCAGGGAGTGGTTTTCTGAAATGTCAGATTATCTAGCCCAAGAATGAGGTTAAAAGCTCAGAGGGTGTCTCCAGCGACAGCTTGGCTTGTGGTTTTAAAACAATGGTCTACATAAGATGAATCATTCTGGAAAACTCCGCTCAACTGTACTTTGGGGGACTGCGGGCTGAAACCAGAGGGCTCCCACTTTGTCAGACTGCTAGCCTGCACCCCAAGAGCCCCGGAACCAGGTCTGGGGAGTGGCTGTGGGGGTCCCAAAGCCGTGTGGTGCCAGAGTCTGAACTGTGCAGGGGGGCCCAGGGCCTCTCTGTCTAGACAGACACCTCCTGTCTCCAGGAGGGCAGAACCTCGCTAATGCTTATCCCTGGACAAGCCTGGCTCCCTGCATGGATGCTCAGCACAGCTCTGGGTTTCCCACAATGCTGTGCACCCCCGGCTAGTGCCCTAGCATACGAAGCTGAGGGTCGGGGTACAAAGCCCAGGAGGGCCTCTCCCATTGCCGGCCTGAAGTGGGCGTGGGCTGGAATTTCAGCCTGTCTTGCCAGAAGGCGAGGATTCACAACACAGCAAGGACGGCTCCAAGCAGATCTGCAGGGCCGCTGTCCGTGCCTGGAGGGCCGCAGGCAAGGCGCCACCCTAGGCTGGCCCTGCCCGCCCTTTGCTCCCGGCTTAGGGGCGCTCACCCCCAGCGCGGCCTCTACCAGGAGGCATCCCTGCGCCCGGAGCAGCGACCCGGTCCTCCAGCAGGAAGGGGTTGGGCTGCGCCCCGGCTTATATTCTGGGCTTCATGGGTTTGGGGGCGAGGGGCTGGCCGGGAAGCCGGGTGGACCCTCCCGGAAGCTGCGTGGGGCGGGACGCGGGGCGCGATCTCTGCTGGAGGGCTGAGCGCGGGCCCCCCACCCCCCGGCCGCCGGCCCTCACCTGGCCTCACCTGGGCCCCGCGCCCGGCCGGCTTCGAGGAACGCGGGCGCGCGCTGGCGGGGGCCCGGGCCAGGAGTTGCCTCTGGGGCCGCGACCCCCGGCCTCCCGGTCGAGTGACTAGCTGGCGCCCGGCAGAGTCCAGGCCGCCCGCGGCGGCCCGTTCCCCGGCGGCCTGGCGCCGCGGTGCGGCCTGCGCGCCCGCCCTCCGGCCCGGCCCCCGCCGCCCACTCGGCCTTGCGCCGGCCCCCAGCCCTCGCCCGCGTCGGTCCCGGGGAGGCTGCGGGGTCCCGGACCGAGGGGTGGCCTGCGGGCGCCGGGGGCGCGCGGGAGGGCGGGGCGCGCGCAGGGCGGGGCGGCCCCGGAGCCCCATCCCCGGACCTACCGGCGGCGGCGGGGCGGCGGCGGCCGCGCTCCGGAAGCCGTGCCCGGTGGCTGGGCATCATGGGAATGGCACGGCCGAGTTCCGGGGGAGGCGCGCGGCGCGGCCGGACCCCCGCCCGGCGAGCGCGCGCCCACCTGCCGGCCGCGCCGCGGAGGAGCCGCGGGAGCCGCGCGCCGCCCCCGCGCCCGCCCGGCGCCCGCGCCCGGCGCCCGGCGCCCCGCGCCGGCCCCGCCTGGAGGCGGCCCGAGCCTCCGGAGACGCCCCTCCCCTCCCGTCTCCGGCCGGCCCCCGAAGTGCGCGCGGGGCGCTCCGAGTGAGTAGTCGGTTTGGTCTGACCCCCGTCTGCTCCCGGCCAGAGGCGGGGCCCTCCGGCGCTGCGGGGTCCCTCTCCCCGGGGGCCCCCAACTGCTGGGCGCTGAGTCGGTGGCCGGGTCGGCAGACACTGCCCTGCCTCCGCGGTCCCGGGTGGGAAGTTCAGGCCGGGAGGGTGTGGGCGCACAGATGGGCTGCTTTGGGGCTGGTGCTGTTCCTGTGGTCGTCAGTCCCGTAACCAGAAACTCCTGCCCGACCAGGGGCCACTGTGTGCCTAGCACCGTGCCCCCTCCTCCTCCGGGCTGGCGGAGGGGGTTCGTTGAGTCTGCACAGAGCTCAGTCTGGCTCCCTGGAAGCCGCCGGCCCCTCTGCGTCCCCCCACCGGCTCCCGGCGCCCCTACCAGTACCGCGAGCTCTGGGCTGTCCGTCCAGCATTCTCTCTAGGAAAGCTGCCCAGGCCTCCAGCTGCCTTTGCCAAATGCCCCTGTGTCGGCGCCTCCGGTTTCACCTCCACCTTCGGGAGAAGGAACAGGGGCCGTGGATGGATAAGCAGCCCCCAGGGGCACGAGTCCTGCTGCAGGGGAGCTGCTGGGCCGCGGAAGCCGGGGCCAGAGCGGCAGAGGGCAGGGCAGTGCGGGGCACACCTCCGTCACTCGGGGAGCCGTCTCTGAGCGCCTGAGTGTGTGCCCGGCTGGCCGTGGGGAGGTCGCGTGGAGGCTGGGGTACCCGGGGCCTGGCTGCATGGGCGTCCCCGCAGGAGGAAGTGTGTTAAGACACACCTGTCATTGGCCGGTTTGGGGGGGAGGGGGCACTGTCTTCTAGGAACCCCCCCTTCGTCCCCCCCCAGCAGTAAAGGTAGGTTGTTTCTGGTCCTCACCGAACTTCCCTGTGGGTTTGTGTGATTTTTCTAACAGCTCAGAGCTCTTCACTCAAGGCCTGGGGTGTGCCACTGCGCCTCAGTGTCCTGAGGCCGGTGGGGCGGACCCTGGCCCGTGCGGGGGGCACATCGAAAGGAAGACGAGCCCTGTGCTTCCGCCCCCGGTGCCAGCCTCCGTGGCCCCGACACAGACCTCTCTCGGGCTAAACTGGGGTTTTGTCTCCTGTCTAGAAAGTGCCCGAAGTTGGACAGGAGAAAACAAATCAGAGGCTTTATTCCTACAGGGATGAGAAGGGGGCTGTTTTTTATCTGCCTGGGGGATTTGGGGCCAAGTGTCAAGAAACCCATGAAAACATTGAATTAATCCTTCAGTAAACTGTTTAATAAAAACTGTCTTCCCATTATTAGAATAATACTTCTTTCTTTGTTACCGAAAGTTTGGGAAAAGGTATCTAATGAGCCAGAACTAGGGACTCCACATATTTTGGCATGGTTTTTTCACAGTTTTTAACTAGTGCCGTGATGAACATCTTTGCTGATGTGTCCCTGGAAGCTGCCTCAGTTTTCCTAAGGGTAAATTCCTAGAAGAGATACTGCGGGGCCAGGACTGGGATGTATTTTGGCCCCAATGCCCTCCGGAAAGGCCTGGCTGAATACCGTCCGCCCTCCGGGGCTGGCTCGAGTCCTTCCATTTGTCTCTGGCAATCTCACAGGTAAAACAAGCCTTTCCACTTGGGGTTTAATCTCTTTGCCTCCTGGTGGTGTAGAGCACCTTTTTATTTTCTATTGGCCGTTTGGAAAATTGCCTGCATGTGTCTGTGTGCATCTGTAAATACTTTTCTGTTGGGCGCGTGTCTTCTTCTCGTTCACAGCTTTTTTCATCGAGGATTGAAGCCATCTCCATCATATACACGTTTATTTTTCGGTTTGCCATTTTTCTTTTAACTTTGAGTTTAGCTTTTGGTTTGTTTTGTTGGTGATGCTTGGGTTTTCAATTTGTGTAGCCAAACCTATCAAGTTTCTTTTATGGTTGGAGATAAGACCCAGGGCGGCTATTGCCACGCTGAAGTTTCCTAACCCGTTTGCCAATTTAATGGCTAAACTTACAAATAAGAGCTACTGAAGACCTGGAGGGGCGTGAATTACAGATTCCTGTGGACATCAGAAGCCCAAGATGTGACGGGTAATAAACAAATTCTGGAAAGGGAAAGACTTTCTTCGCTTCTTATTTTTAGCCTTGGCCTTCAGATATCTGTGTATGCACGCAGGGTTGTGTGCACATATACACAAACACATGCACAAGCACACAGACACACGTGTGTGGACACACAGACATATATGCACGCATTTATACTTTAACTTTTAGGAGCCTCTGTCTCCTGCATGCTGTTAGGCCATCATTGGATAAAGGGCACCTGTTTTTATCGAAACTATCCTGTTGTAAGAGGTGCTGACCTTGGCATTTAGTTCCTCCAGTCAGGTCCTCACTGTGCGGGTTCAAGGTCTCCTGGGATCAGCCCCCAGGCCACCTTCCACTGGTTCTTGCAATAGACCCACCTGACACGGTGAAGTGGGCTCCCTTCCCCCCCAGGCAGGGGTCCCCATGCATCTCTGCTCAGCCCAGTCCGATGCTTCTAGAAGGACAGCCAGTAGCTCTCTTGTCCCGCAGGTGGGTGAGTGGTGGGAGCGGGGGCCGGGGCGGTGGCTGGGCTTCTGGTCGGGCTCCGGGGCCCCTTGCGGTCACTGCTGGCCTCTGGCCCTCCCCTTGTGCTTCTGTCAAGGGGAACAGGGAATTCTTAGAGACCGTCTCTGTTATTCTCTGCATGGAGGTGACCTCCAGGGAGGCAGCTGGTGTCCTGGGGCCAGAGTCAGTGCCAGTGGCAGAAGCCAAATGCCCCCTTATTTGTCTGTTTTCCCTAAAAGAGTGAAGAGTGTCTTCACGATGAAAGAAACTCAAATGAAAGGAGGCACCACGCTCTGACAGCCCCTGGGATGCAGCACCCTAGCCAGCTGGCAGAAGGAGGGCATGTCCCCGCCATGTCTGAAACGTGAGGCCCGCTGACCCCGTTCCGAGGACTCTGTCCTGCGGTTACGGTCACAGTCCATGTGGGCAAATCGCCACAAAGACGATGCTTCACTTAGCAAAGCAGCCCCCCAACACCTGGCTGTTAGGAGGGGTGGAAACACTTGCTGCAGGGTGCCTGGAGCCTCTGCCGGAGAGGACGAGGTGGGGCCTGTGGAGCCTAGGCGGGCTCTCCCTGTGACCATGGGGTGGCCCGCCAGCAGAACAGACGGCAGAGTGGCATCTCACCCCTGGATGCGCCAGCCACCATTAGCAGTGGGACCCCCTCTGCAGAGTGGCCCCACGCGGCGGCTGGCCGGGGTGCTGCGGGGTTCCTGCTGACCCCTTCATAGTGTTCCAGCTTTGATCGTGAGCATTGCTTTCGTACATACAAAGACCAACTCGTAAAGTGTGGAATGGAAATGTATGAAAGTTCATGTGTGTAAGGGTGGCCACACACACACACCACCCAGACCAGGTCCATGTAATAACTGCCCACTCAATTCAGCCTTGGAAAGTCTATTTCTGCAAAACTGGTTTTTAAAATCACTCACGTCCTGAGTTTGGGATTGATGTACACACACTACCGTGTATAAAATAGATGACCATTGAGAACCTCCTATCAGCTCAGGGAACTCAGCATGCTCTGTAGTGACCTAGATGGGAAGCAAATCCAGACAAGAGCAGATCTATGTATACACGGAACTGATTCACTTCGCTGTATGGTGGAAACTAGTGCGGTATTGTAAAGCAACTAAACTCCAATAAAAATTAATAAAGAAGTCTCTTGCCTCAGAAGCGACTTTTTTTCAGTTTGTTTCTCGAGTGTCGATTTATTACAGTTTTCCTGGTGTAATTTTCACCCTATTTATTATTTGCCATCTTAGTGACCAACCTGATTTTAAGACTGTCCGTTTATGAGGCAGCTAAACCAGGCTGAAATAAGCCCCTTGAGGGCACAGTGTTCGTCCCAAATGGAATGAAGACATGTTACCTCCAATTTATTCTCAGAAGAGCAGGGTATTTTCCAACCCCAACCCCAGGTTTGAGAGAAAATCTTTTTTCTCTCTGATTCTTTGCAGAAAATATGTTGGACCAAGGCCCTCATCCCACAACTCTGGGAAGCTTGCTCTCGCCTCTCGCTGGATCCTGGGGGCACCGGGGATGGTGCTGGGAGGTGGCCGGATGGGGACTCAGGCTGGATTAAAGTGGGGAGACCCCTTCAAAAGCAGGAAAGCGTGCTGGGCAAAGGCAGAGCAACGAGGCTGGCAGGAACTGGACACTCTGGTCCAGCTGCACTCTGGGCCGGAGGCCCCTGAGGACGGTCCACACAGCTGAGAAGGCATCAGGCCGCAGTGTCCTTGGACACAGGCCTGGGCGAGGGGAGCTGGTGGTGACGTGGGTACAGAGAGGCCGCGGGCGAGATGACCCCTCAGGCTGCCTGCTGAGGAAGCAGCTGGGCCTCCACATGCCTTACGTGGGGGCCACTGTGCGTGGGCACCCCTGGGAGGGGGCCCTCGGCCAGGAGTGTGGCCAGTGCAGGCCCACTCCTGCTGCCTCCACCCTGAAGGGGTCTGGGCAGCAGCTCGGCGTCCACCACAAACAACTCCTCAAATCCTGTACATCAGAAACATCGCTGTCTGTCCCTATTGCAGGCCAGGGGTCAGTTAACTTGTTACATCTTACAGGAGTTTTATCCCAGCTCCGTTCAGTGGAGGATGCTGCTCCAAATTGGTCAAGGGATGACAAGGTGGTAAGACTGGGGTGTGAAAATCTCAACTGGAGTGTTAAACGTCAGGATGAGCAGGACGGCAGATGTTGCAGAGGAAACCGATTCCGCCGGAGCTTGTCCCGAGGACGCCTCTGTGCTCCTGGGAGATGAGTTGGCGCAGAGTAAAAATGGGAGAGTTCACACTTCAGTCTCAAAAATCTCCCCAAGTCTGCAAAAATGATTCTATTTCAGCTTTCTTTTGGCAGAAAGAAGAGGAATCTACTGCACGTTCTCTGAGTTTGGGAAAGGCAATATGGAAAACTCGACCTTTTTTGGTACAGAAATCTCCTTCTGTCCTGAATCACGTCTTCCCTTCCTAGGACGTGGGAGGGGGACGCGTGTCCTCAGACTGAGGAAGGAGCCTGGTGTCCTGGTTTCTCAGCTGCAGCTGGTTTGGTGTCGTTGGAGGACAGCTGGGCATTCCCTCGCACCCCCACCCCCTTCCAGGAGGTGCCGTCTCCTTCCACACTAAAGGCACTTTCAGAAACATCCCCTCCACGACACCCTCTGTGGTCCATCTTGGGAGTATATAGAGCGATCGACAGGGTTGGGAAAAATGTCAGGAACTTGCAGACCGGGGAAGGGAGTGGGTTCTCTGCTGGTGGGTGGCAACCCGCTGGGAAGGGCCCGGGTAAGGTAGTGCCCTGGGCTGAGCACCAGATCCTTGGCAGGGTGGCTCCCGTAGCTGGCTCCGGGGCTGAGCATAGAGCACGGACAGTGAGGGTTTTCCCCTCCCTGAAATCAGAGCGTCGGACTCAGCTTTCCCCTGGGAGCCTGGGTTTTACTTTCTTAGCTTCCGAGTGGTGGTGTTTCACTGCCCTGGGGGTGACCACTGAGTGCGTCTGTTCTTCCGCCTTGAGGGGGCACGGTGAGGTAGGTGATCTGTAGGCCTGACCCATGCAGCGCCCAGGCAGCAGGCAGGCCAGCTGAGCAGACTTGCCGCCCCCACAGAGACGGCGTGTGTGGAGGGAGCTGGTGGGTGCCATGGCGAGTGCGCAGAGGAGGACCCCCAGCATGTTCCGCTCTGTTTATAAAGCAGGATGAGCCCCTTTATGAAAAGCAGTGGATGCACTTTACCCTACATGCAGAAACCACAGTCTCCAGCTACAATAGACAAGGATTTCCTCTGCTAGGGGGGCAGAGGTAGGTTGACCAGTAAGATAGACATGAAACTTAGCGTAATTCTTAGAGTGGGAGCCAGGGAGAAGGGGAGAAGGAAGGTTTAACCTGGGCCATCCGGCACCACTGAGGCTTTATACCAGAGACTCGCTGGGGACGGGCTGGCTGGTTACATGAACGGCGTGGGCAGAGGTGACCTTTTCTGTCACCCTCGGCAGTCCGCTTGCTTGTAGCCTAAGGACGCAGTGTGTTGGGCTTCCCAGTGGTCAAGAATCCGCCTGCCAATGCAGGAGACGCAAGAGACACGGCTTTGATCCTTGGGTCGGGAAGATCCACTGGAGTAGGAAATGGCAACCCACTCTAAATCTTGCCTGGAAAATTCCATGGACAGAGGAGCCTGGCAGGTCCATGGGGCTGCAGAGTGTTGGCCATGACTGAGCACACACGGGGGGTTAGCTTCATCCTTAATGCACACGTAGTGGAGGCGTGTATGTGTTTGGTTTAGCTCGGCAGCTTTTAAGGGCGTTCAGGGAAAGGAGCTGGAGCAGCGGAGGCAGGCTCAGAGCGGACTGTCTGGGGCAGTCAGGCCCCAGGGGAGCCCAGCCCTGCCTGCCTCTGAAGCCTCCGTCTCCCGGTACAGACAGGGCCCGGAGCGGCGTGTGAACCCTCTGACTGAGAAGCCACCGCGTTCTGCTCTGGGAGCCTGGAAGGGAACACGCAGGCACAGTCTGAGGTCTTCGGGGCCGAGGGGCTGCCGCGGGCTCCACGGTGACAGGCCTGCTCTGTCAGCCTCCCTGGACGCTGGGCTGACTGGGGAAGGGACTCCACCTGAAACCTGGAGGAGGAGCCCAGGCGTTTAAAGCTGAGGCCCGGGAGAGAACGCACGTTTGCCAACTGGCTTCTGCTCTGAGTCGTCTCTGTGCCTTTGGGAGAACTTCGGGGGAGAAGGGTGGAGCTTGGCTTTGCGCCGAGACCTGGAGGAGAGGTCTCTGCTGTGAGCATGCTAGATCTTCCCGACGTGCCCAGCGCTGCCCTTGCCGTCGGGGTCGAGGGTGGCGGCAGCGGCTGAGACAGCGTCCTGTCGTGTGGTCTGGGGACACCTGCTTTGGGCCTCGAAGACCAGGGAATGGAGGCCGGAACATTTGCGACTGGAAAAGGAGAGAGCTGCTTTGGGGGGCATTTTCCTGAAGAATCCAGAGCTGACTGAGCGGCTCGTGCTGGAGGTCACTTCCGGAGAAGGGTCTGAGTGTCGACCCCGACTCTTGGCTGAAGGTCCTGAAGACAAGTCGGGGCTGCTTCTGGGGCTGCCTGGCCCGGGGCACCAGAGACCCCAGGCTTTAAGGACAGGCCAGAGGCAGAGAGAGCTTCATCTAAGACCCAGACTCATCCATCTTGGTAAATACGCTAAAATTTTAGTGAATGTGTTGCAGCCTCAACCTCGACGGTGCCGTCTGGTTTTTTGCCACTGCTGGTGTCAAGACTCAACTGGAGACCTCAAGTGGACAGAACGACATTGACCTTTGAACCTGAGACCTTGACCTGGGGGCGGGGTCAATTTTAAAGGGAGAATCTGCTCTGGCTCTGGACTCTGTGTACCCTTGCAGGAGCGGGCGCCCGCCCACCTCCCTTCCCAGACCCGGGAGCTGCCCGCTTGGCCCTCTGCCACGAGGGACGTGGACCCGCCGTCTTCCTTTACTGGCGGGACGGCTGCAGGTACCCTCCTGCTGGGCACTCAAACACACACACACACACAACTCAGTAGGACCTGGAAATAAGTCAAAGTCGATGAGTGCACTCTAAGGTTTCTAGGTAGCCCAAATACTCACCTTTCAGAACAGGAGTCGGCTCTGTATGTGGAGGCTGTGAAGAGGAGAAATCCAGCGTTTTTCCTGCCTTTCCCGAGTGAGCTGTGCCCCTGGGGAGCCAACAGTGTATGAGGGAGTCTTTTTTCTAAAATTAAAACATTCCAATTAACAAATGAAAGAGGGCTGGAGAATTAAAATATCATCCTTTTGCAGCTCCCAGGGAATTAATGGGAATGGCAGCCACTGGTCCCTAAGAGGGGATGTTCAGACCTTCTGTGCCCAAGGGTGGCTGAGGGGAAGGAGGCTGCCACCTCGCAGGGGTCGACTCGCTGGGCGGGGGCGGGCTGACCAAGCGCAGGGAGGAGGCGGCCGGCGGCACCCCAGCGCGGAGAACTTGGCCGGGCAATCAGTCTTCCCCGATCGGCCGTGAGAAGACGGCAGCTTGGGAGCAGGCTCTGGCGTGTCCCTCCACCCTACCCTGGCTCGGGACTCCAGGGGCCTCATCAGCTCTTCCCCAGGGCAACCTGGCGGGGTCCTAGAGCGAAAGCCCTTGAAAATGTGCCCCCGGCCTGTGGCCCCCGGGAGTTCCTCATTCAGGACCCCACGCTCCTATGACCACAGCCCCCCACGTCCCCATCCCGGCACCCTCCTCAGTCGTGGCTGCGGCCCTTTCTCGTCCAGGTGTCTGGGCTTTGGCGTTCTGAGTTCCCGTCTCTGCAGGTTTTGGGGTGGCTGTGTGACCCGAATCTCAGTTCTCCAGCGGGTGGAAGAGGAGTCGTGGCTTTGTGTGTGCAGTTTTCCTCGTCTTGAGGATGGGGTGACGGCCTCCCAGCGCTCTACATGCTGGGGGCTGAGCCAAAACCAGACGTGTCCCCTCTGCGGCTCTTGTCCCACGCCTTCTGGATCCATGCTCCCTCTTCGCCTCGTTTGTTCCTTTGTCGTTCAGTCGCTCGTTCGTGTCTGGCTCTCTGCGACGCCATGGACTGCAGGACTGCAGGCTCCCTGTCCCTCACTCTCTCTCGAAGCTTGTGCAAACTCATATCCACTGAGTCCATGGGGCCATCCAACCGTCTCCTCCTCTGTCACCCCCTTCTCCTCCTGCCCTGGTGGCTCAGATGATAAAGAATCCGCCTGCAATGCAGGAGACCTGGATTCGATCCCTGGGTCGGGAAGGTCCCCTGGAGGAGGGCATGGCAGCCCATTCCGGTGTTCTTGCCTGGAGAATTTCATGGACAGAGGAGCCTGGCGGGCTGCAGTCCATGGGGTTGCAGAGTCAGGAAATAACTGGGTTTCCTGTAAATCTGTCAGAGTAGAAGATAAAAAGTCAAGGAGAGCTGACACCTAAAGAGCCAGAGTCCCTTACGGGGAACGCTCTTCCGTGCTGGGTCCAAACACTCTGATGCCAGGAGCTCGGGTTGCCAGCAGACGGGCCTTCTCTGATTCTTCCAGCCTGGCCTCAGCCTCAGACGCCCCGGCTGCCCCAGGCGGCAGCCACGGCGTGGCCAGGTGGCCTTTGTCTGGTCAGGTGGCCGTCCTCTGGGGCTGGGCTGGAGTAGCTCAAAGCAGCCACTCCCTTACTGACACCCTGCCCCAAGGTGACTTCCGAGGGGGGGTGATGACCAACAGCGGGGACTGTCTGGAGGACACACGCGGCAGGTGTGGCTGCCCCCTGTCAACGAGGATCTGGAAGGTAAACCTCCTGATGTGAGCAGGGCCGCGTGTAAGGGGCGTCCAGGCTCAGAGGGCATGTCTCCCACCTCTACCCGGGACACCCGGGGGGCTGGCCGAGCGACGGCACTCATTCAGAAAGCAAATACAAAAGCCAAGCAGCCAGCCACCTATGGGGAAATCTACAGTGGCCCAGGGAGACCGGTGGCTGCCAGCGGCCGCGGTGGGGGGCTGGGGGGCGGGGGGTGACAGCTGCGGGTCATGGGGTGCTGTGCGATGAGCACGCCCTGAAGTCAGCTGCGGCGATGGACACGCCTGCGGCGAGCTCATTAAGTCACTGAGCGTGCTGTTTGCCCAGGTGGCGACTTCACTAAAAGTCATTGACCTGTACACTTTCTTCTTTTCATATGTGGAGCATCATTCACTTATTACAGTGACACAGCTGTGACTAATTTTTGAAACTCTTGGAATTGGCCTCTGTGCCTTGGATACATTTTGACAAGTTCAGTGGTCATATATCCTTATGTTTTTGAGGTTTTGGATTCAAATTTTGGAAATACCTAGTAGTGTTTTAAAGCCAAGTCCAGTGAAGGGCGTGGAGGGACTGAGCGGATCACTTCCACGTTGGGTTATCAACAAAGTGCAACTCATAAACTGTTTCTGGAAGAGAAGTTAAAAGCATCTGGACCGAATTAGCATTATTCAAGCAAACTTACAACTTACAAAGGTGATCACTTGGAAGGACACTGTTCATTTGGCAAATAGTTTGTATCTGTATTATTCCTTCCATTTTCTTTGGATTTACTTTACTGTTCTTTCTCTAGTTTTTTTTTTTTTTAAGATGGATGCTTAGCTATTAGTTTTTAGCATTTCTTATTAATTTTGCATACCTTTTAAGGCTATCCGTTTCTAAGCCATAAGATGCACAAGTTATGATATATTAATTTGCAATTTGATTATTATTTTAAAATATTCTCATAATAATTTAATGGTAATTTCCAAGCATGGAATTTTCCTAATTTTTCTGGTTATTGATTTCTAGCTTAAGTTGTCTCAGTTACATATTGCTTTGTGAGAAACCACCCCAAAACATAGAGATTTAAAATGACAACAACGGTGGTGTTTATTTTGCTTGTGATTTGAAGTTCAGGTCGGGCTCTGTGGGGATTTTTCTAAGGTGGGGGGTGGGAATTGTCTGAAGTGCGTGCGTGTCTGCTTGGTCACTGAGTTGTGTCCTTATCTTTGCGACCCCCACGGACTGTAGCCCACCAGGCTCCTCTGTCCAATCCCAATGGGATTTCCCAGGCAAGAATACTGGAGTGAGCCATTTCCTTCTCCAGGGCACTAGTGGTGAAGAACTCGCCTGCCAACGCAAGAGACAGATTCTTGGGTTGGGAAGATCCCCTGAGAAGATCCCCTGAGAAGGAAGTGGTCAGCCACTCCAGTATTCTTGCCTGGGAAGTCCCGTAGACAGGGGAGCCGGGAGGGCTACAGTCCATGGGGTGGTAAAGAGCTGGACACGACTGACGTGACTCAGCACACATGTCCTCCGGGGGATCTTCCCGACCGAGGGATCAAACCTGCCTCTCCTGCATTGGCAGGTGGAGTCTTTACAACTGAGCCACCACGGAAACCCCGGAATTGTCTGAAGTCTCATCCACTTACACGGCGAGTAATTAATGCATCAGTAAGGGCCTTAGCTGGGTCTGAACACCGTCACAGGACCTCAGCTTCCTCACGACACGGAGGCTGGGTTCTCAGGGCAAGGCGGTTCTGAGAGAGAGCCAGCCGGGCAGCGTCAGCTTTGCAAGCCAGCCCCGGCTGTCCCTCAGTGCCAGTACCACTAGATTCTGGTCCTCGAAGGCGAAGACCTGCCAGCTTCCAAGCAAGGGGAACCGGACTCCATCTCTTCACAGATGGGAGGGGTGCCAAGGTTCTGAATGATCTTGAGACAGAAATTCTGTTGTAGCTTTTTCTTTTTTAAAATACAATCTGCTCCATTCCCTAGAGTCAGAGTCTGTACCCTTTATGATGTTAGCCCTTTCACATTTTTGAGACTTCCTTTCTGGCTCAGTATTTGGTTAATTTTTATAAATACTCAGCGCATTTGGGAAGAATGTGTGGAGTTGTAAGAAGCAACCAACTCTCAGTTTTGTTGGTCATGTTGATCAAATATTCTCTATATCCATACTGACTTTCAGGTGACTGTTCTATTTAATTACCCAGAGAGAGTGTATCAGAATCTCCCATGATGTGTAATTGTCTACTTTTCTTCATTTATTTGAAAGCGTTTGCTTTATGTATTTTGAGGCTACTTTATTAAGTACATAAAAATTTAGAATTATTATTATTCCTGATATATTGGTTACTTTATCAATATGAAGTGTTTCTTTTTATGTCTAGTAATGTTTTTTGCTTTAAAGTTTATTTTTCTGATATTAACATAGCTACCCAAGCTTTGCTTCGATTAGTATTTTATGCTATGTTTACCTACTCTTTACTTTCAACTTTTAAGTATATTTGTTTTAGGTGTATTTCTTGTAAAGAGTATATAGTTTCCTAATACCCCAACTCATCTATCTGAAAATTATAGTAGACTGTTACTATTATTACTTTTAGCACTTCAAAGGTATCATTTCATTGTTTTTTTGTGTGAAAATCCAACAGCCTTCTTTATTTCTGTGGCTTCTTGTGATTTTCTCTTTATTGTGGATTTTTAAAGAGGTTTATACTGGGAATGTCTAGTTGTAGATTTATTCTCCTTGGTTTTCCCTACTTTCTTCAATTTAAGTCTGAATTTCGCAGTAAGGAGTTCATGATCTGAGCCACAGTCAGCTCCCAGTCTTGTTTTCGCTCACTGTATAGAGCTTCTCCATTTTTGGCTGCCAAGAGTATAATCAATCTGATTTTGGTTCCAAATAGGGAAAGGAGTATGTCACAGCTGTATATTGTCACCCTGCTTATTTAACTTATATGCAGAGTACATCATGAGAAATGCTGGGCTGGAGGAAGCACACGCTTCAAGATTGCAGGGAGAAATATCAATAACCTCAGATATGCAGATGATACCACCCTTATGGCAGAAAGTGAAGAAGAACTAAAGAGCCTCTTGATAGAAGTGAAAGAGGAGAATGAAAAATTTGGCTTAAAACTCAACATTCAGAAAACTAAGCTCATGGCATCTGGTCCCATCACTTCATGGCAAATAGATGGGGAAACAGTGGAAATAGTGACAGACTTCATTTTTTTGGGCTCCAAAATCACTGCAGATGGTGACTGCAGCCATGAAACTAAAAGACGCTTGCTACTTGGAGGAAAAGCTATGACCAACCTAGACAGCATATTAAAAAGCAGAATCATTACTTGCCAACAAAAGTCTGTCTAGTCAAAGCTATGGTTTTTCAGTAGTCATGTATGGATGTGAGAGTTGTACTTTAAAGAAAGCTGAGCACCGAAGAATTGATGCTTTTGAACTGTGGTGCTGGAGAAAACTCTTGAGAGTCCCTTGGACTGCAAGGAGATCCAGCCAGTCCATCCTAAAGGAAATCAGTCCTGAATATCATTGGAAGGACTGATGTTGAAGCTGAAATGCCAATACTTTGGCCACCTGATGTGAAGAACTGACTCATTAGAAAAGACCCTGATGCTGGGAAAGATTGAAGGCAGGAGGAGAAAGGGACGACAGAGGATGAGATGGCTGGATGGCATCACTGACTCAATGGACATGAGTTTGAGTAAACTCCGGAAGTTGGTGATGGACGGGGAGGCGTGGCATGCTGCAGTCCGTGGGGTTGCAAAGAGTCGGACACGACTGAGCGACTGAACTGAACTGACTGATTCTCCTTGGGATTCACAAAGTTTCTTGAATCTATAGACTGATGTCTTTCATCAGTTTTGCAAAGTTGTTAACCATTACTTCTTTGAGTATTTCTTCTCATTCTGTCTTTCCTTCTCTGCTGGGGTCCTAGTGAAATGTGCGTTAGGCTTTCTGTCTCCATCCACTGTGTCTCTCACACCCCTCTGTATTTTCCTATCCTTTTGTTTTATACGTTTAACATTCATTTACATTTACTTGCCTATTTACCATTTTCTTTATCCCTTCCTCCTCCATTTGAGATCATGTGTAGCCTTGATGCTTAGAAAGGTTTGAACTTTTGTGTTAGTGTTGCCTTTATTATTATAAGTGTAGATATTAAACTTTATTGCTCATTTTCTGTAGACAGTATTTAACATATTATCCTCTAACACATAATTGCATTTGCTTTTTTCCATTTCCTGACATGCCATTGGCAACCTTTTATTTTCAAACTTGATGGTAATTTTAGATATATTTCTGTGAGCAGCATAGAATTGGGTTTGCTTTGAGGTACAACCTGAATATCTGTTTAATAGTGAGTTAAAGCCATTTATAGTTAATGACATGCGTGAGTGTTTTTCAAAGTTCTCTCCCATTCTGTTTTCTGTTAGTTTGGCTTTTCCAGACTTCACGCATAAGTGATGTCTTTGCGTGTCTGTCTTTGTCTGTGTGATTTCACTCGGCGCAATGCCCTCAGGGTCCATCCTTCTTGTCACAAACGGCAGGATGTGCTGCTTTCTCGTGGACGAATGACACTCCGTTGCAAACATGCACCACAGCTTCTTTCCCTGGTCGTCCGGTGACGGACACTTGGGTCGTCTGCATGTCTTGGCTGCTGTGACGCCGCTGCGCTGAACGCGGCAGTGCACGGATCTCCTCTCCATCCTGCTTTCATCACCTTTGAACAGACAATCAGGAGTGGGACTGCTGAGTCGCTGGTGGCCCTATGTTTAGTTTTTTGAGGACCCTCCAATACAGTTTTCCGTAGTGGTTGCTCCAGTTTACATTCCCACCAGCAGTGCACGCGGCTTCCTTTTTCTCCACATCCTCACCAACACTTTCTGTCTCTCTTGTCTTGACAGCAGCCGCCCTGAGGCGGGTGAGGTGACACTCGTGTTGCGTTTCTGTGATGCAGAGTACCTTGCCATGGAGCTCTCGGCCATCTGAACATCTTCTTTGGAAAAACATCTGCTCAGCTCCTCTGCCCTTTTAAAATGTGGATAGTCTTTTGCTACTGTGTATGAGTTCCTTATCTGTTTTGGATATTAACCCCTTCTCAGACGTGTGGTTTACACGTATTCCTTCCCAGGCTGGAGGTTGCCTTCTCGTTTGTGGTTGGTTTCCTTTGCCGGGTGCTTTCCTGCGGCGCCATCCACATGTTGGTTTTTGCCCTGTTCCTTCTGCAGATGCTCTGGAGAGCTCAGGGCACCCCCCAGCCTCACAGCCCAGGGCTTGCTCCCTGCTGCCCTGGTGCCTCTTCCTGCAAACATCGCCGTCTGGGGCTCCATTCGCGTCCCCTTCCTAAGCGGCCTGGGCGTGGGGGGACTTTTACCCCCGTGGACTTCCTCCTCTTCCTGTGGCTCCCACACTGATTACACGCAGATGTTTTCCTTCTAAGTGAGCCTCTTCCACCCACAAGGGCTGCGTGCTGCTGGCGATTTCTGGGCTCCCGCACACGGGGCTCTGCCCGCCGCCACGGAGCTGCCTTCCCCACGTGCATTTTCAGAGTCTGTGCTTTACACTTCACTCCTACTTTTCCTGAAAAACGGAGTTTTGAAAAAGATCTTGTTGTTTTAACGTGATATCTAGGTAGACAAAGGCATAAATTCTGGTTTACACAGCCATCCTCATAGCAAAACGCTCAAAATCATGGTTTTCGAGTAAATATTTAAGTTTTTTTTTTAAACACAGTGACACAATGGCCTCCTTTGGGAGATTCTGTTTTTTTTTTTTTTTTTTTATTTGGTTGCCCCAGGTCATAGTTGTGGACATGCGGTATTTTCAGTCTTCCCTGCAGCATGTAGCATCTTACTTCCCTGACCATGGGTTGAACTTGGGCCCCCTGCATTGGGAGCACAGAGTCTTAGCCACCGGACCTCCAGGGAAGTCCCATGTTCTGGCTTATTTTTTAGGCAGCACTCGTTTTTCCTTAAAGAAATTTTTGAAGTCATCTTGGCTTTAGGAATATCTTCTGCAGCACTTTAGCTTGATAAAAACACATTTTATGATTAAGTTCCAATAATTTAAGCAAACCCTTCTGGTAGAACCAAAAGGTAGAAAGAGGACACCTTTCGCTGGATTTTATTAAAAAATAGAAAATAACCGGGCACTTCTCTTTCTCTTTTCCTTGCTTAGAATTTTGCTTATTTGTATAAATGCCTTGGAGGGGAATGATGACTTTTCCTTTCTGATATTTGACGGAGTAATAAGTGCAGAGGTCATCTCGCCCTGGCAGGAGAATCTGAGCCTTGTATTGGAAGGTTCTGGATGCTCCAGCAGCTCACAGAGTTGGACGTAGGAAAGTTCCCACGCCACCCCCAGATGAGGAAGGGAGGCGGGGACTGAGGGTCTCCAGCGCCTGAGGGAGAGAACTCAGAAGCACATCCCCACGGCAGGGAGCAGCAGCAGCCAGAGCTGGAGCTGGGGCTGTGTCCTCAGAAGTGGCCCCCTAGGGCTCCTGCGGCTAAGACTCCACTCTTCCAGTGCGAGGGGCGTGGGTTAGATCCCGGTTGGGAGCTGAGGGCCTGCGTGCTGTGGGGTGAGGCCAAAAAATTAGAACAAAAGAAGCCGTGAGCCCCTGGCTCCCGCCCCAGCTCCAAGCGCCTCCTTTGAAGCAATTATGCTCCGAGCGTTTCAGCGACTGCCCCTCTGGTAGGAATGCTCCTTGGCTGTTTATATTCAAGATGAAAGGCTCCAGGTTAACATTTCCCTCACAGGAAATTCATTCAAACCGTGTTCAGTGGGGGGAGGCTGTCGAGATGTATCAGGAATGACAAGGCTCAGTCAGAAATAGAGCCCTGGGTGGACCGTCTGATCGCTGTGGGCCGGGGGGTGGAAGGGGCGGAGGTGGAGGGCAGGGGGCTGCCCAACCTGCCATCAGAGGATTGCTCGTGAAAGCGTCCTGCTCGCTGGACGTGTTTCCTCGAGAAGGTGTTCTTGGCCAAAGGACCGCCCCGCGGGTAAAGGAAGCTGTTATTTTCTCTAATGAGGCTCAAAAAGACTCACATCCAGGAGTGTTTCCTCTGAGTCAGTGGTGCTGGACAGCAGGGGCACGTGATGGTCTGGGGACGCCCCTGGCGGTCGCGGCGAGGGCTGGCAGGGCGGCACGCTGCCTCACACCGCGGGCGCCCACGACGGTCCGCCACAGGAAGTGATCCCGCGCCCAACCAGGAAGTGATCCCGCTACAGGGAGAAATCCCGCGCCGTTGTCAGCCCTGCCGGAGCCGTGGCCCTGCTTCAGATGAAGCTCTCAGGAGAAGGGAAGTGGGAGTCTGCACTTCGGAGCAAATAACAGGAGGTTTTAGAGTTTGTGTAAAAGCTGCCTCTCTCAGGAAGGCCAGAGGGCGCTGCCCACTGACTGCTGCCCTGGAGCAGCCAGCACCTTGGCCGCTCACGGCCGTGCCTCTGTTGTGGGTGATCTGAGGCCGCAGGAGAACCGACGGGTCTAAATGTTCCAACCGGAAGGCGGGTCTCAGCTGGTGGATGCACACAGCTGGTGAAGACACTCGGTCAACATTTGTAGAATAAATAAAGCAGTGGGCGGCTGGCCGGGTGAGAGGCAGACGGAGCTTGCAGCTGCACCTCCGTCCTCAGCTGGCTGGCCGAGGCTTCGAGGTGGGAGGCCTTGCATGATCGTCGGCCAGGGTGCCTCGAGGAAGCCTGGGGGTCAGTGTGCGGGCCCAGGAGGGCAGGTCAGCCTCCAGGGCCCCTCCAGCCCTCCAGGGCCCCTCCAAGGAGGCTGACTCCACGAGAAGTGAGAAATAAGCTTTGGGGTTCTGCACCCTACCAAGACACTTTCCAGCTTCAAAGAAGTAATTAAAAATGCTCTTTGGAGGACCAATTTTACATTTCAGTGCAAGCATTTCCCTCTGTTAGATGGCTTTTAAGAAGGTCTGTTCGCCCTCCTCATGGAAAAGATAGGAAGCACGCGTCCTGCCATCCGCCTGGTCTTGGAAAACTTCCGGCGGCCACGGCAGAGCTGGACCAGGGCAGGCGGCCCCGACGTGAGTGTGGGAGGTCAGAGGACCCAGGGTGTGTGCACACATGAGCGTGTGCGTGTGCACGTGTACCCTGTGCGCCTGTGCATGTGTGCATGAGCATGTTTGCAGCTTCTGAGGAGTGAGAAGTAATGTATATTATAGGTGAGTCCTGCCCGTGTGTGCATGTGTGTGTGTGAGTCTGCGTGGGTGACGTGCACTGAAGGGACGCCTTCTCTCTGGGTTGCTGACGTGGGACGTTGTCCACCTGGGGCTCTGTGACCACGTCTACCCTTTCCCAGCCTCATGGGGAAGGTTCAGGAGGGAAAGAGGACCTCAGAGGCAGTGACATTAAGAGAGGCATGGCGACGCCCGTGACCTCTCCGTGGTTCCCGGACCGGCCTTAGGCTGACCCACAGCGCCAGGACGCGCCTTCCTGGGCTAAGCTGGTCTGGGCCGTGTTTCTGCTCTTCACGCTTTGTGGCGGGGTTCAGACTTTCCGAGATACCACCGTTCACCAAGCTTTACATGGGAGAGCTCTGATGTCTGCAAAGCGTGAGTTTTTAGATAGAAAAGATAGCAGTTTGAGGTCATTCAGATTGGAAGCGACGGGGCAGCCGTCCGTCAAATCTCTCTTGATAATCTGGTTTTCTGTTTCTGTGAGACACACCAGCTCAACCTTAATTGTGTGAGAGAAAACGGCCACGCTTTCATGGCTCTCACGGAGGGTGTGGGGGGCAGGACTTCGGGCCGGGTGCAGGGGACGGCTTTGCCTCTGTGTCGGGTTGTGTGGGCCCCGGATGGCTGGGCCATCTCAGCGGTGCTGAAGGCTCCGAGGTCGCGCCTGCCTGCGACTGGTCTGTGCGGCCTGGGCTCCTCCAGGCGGTGGCCGGAGGAGAGGGAGCCTCTGCCCGGGAAGGTCCAGGGAGCTGATGTTGGGCAGCCCACTGACAGGCCTCTGAACAGACATCCTCCTACCTCCTTCCTCTGCTGGAGGAGCCCTCGTCCCGCTTGAAGGAGGCGACAGAGACCCCACCTCTTAGCGGGGAGAGGGTCCGCGGCTTTGGGGCCACGTTTTACAGCGGCCATCCAGAGTCCCTATGACCTCTTCGAGGCTGGGGTACAGCCTCATGTGCAAGCTCTGATGAAGGCAACTTCTGGCCTTGGTGTCTGGGGGCACAATGGATGTATGGTACGATAACTGTTTTATCCCCCCAAAATCTGGAGCTCCCCATGTTCTAAATTACCCTAGACTCCATAGATGGGCTCAGAGTGTCCTGTAGGGATTCAAGCATTTCAAAAAAAATTGAGGTGAAATTCATGTAACACGCAACGCACTGTCTTAAAGCACTTGATTAGGCAGCATTCAATGTCCACAGAATTTCCATCACTGTGAACGGAAACCCCGTGTCCCTGGAGCAGGCGCCCCCAGCCCCTCCAGCCCAGCCACTTCTCTACTTCCTGTCTCTCTGGATTTGCTTCTGGGGGCTTTTTGCCAGAAGGAATCGGGTGATACGTGGTCTTCTGTGTCATCGAGTCTTTGAGGTTCATCCTTGCAGGACAGCACCGTTCTTTTTTAAGGCTGAGTGACACTGCCCAGTGTGCACGGACCACGTTTTGTTTCTGCATCACTTGAGGGGCATTCGGGTTGCTTCCACATCTTGGCTGCCGTGAATAGTGCTGCTGTGAACTTTGCACAGAAATTTTTGTTTGAATGTGTTTTCAGTTCTTCTTGGAAAGCACTGAGAGAGAGAGAGAGGAGCCGATGGTCAGTGCAGGGGGTGGCCGTGAAGGGGTCTGTTTTGCTTCTGGGCAGCTCCCCAAGCCCTCCTCTGGCTGTGGCTCTTAGAGGGAAAGCCGAGAGCCAGACCCCTTTCCCCCCAGCCAGCCCACTTCTGTGGGAACAGTCTAGAACCTCGAGCAAAGTCTCCCTTGACCTGCTCCCTTCCCTTTTGAACCAGTCCGTTGTTCCATCTGCTCCCTTCCCAGTTTTGAACCAGTCCGTTGTTCCATCTGCTCCCTTCCCTTTTGAACCAGTCCGTTGTTCCATCTGCTCCCTTGCCTTTTGAACCAGTCCGTTGTTCCATCTGCTCCCTTCCCAGTTTTGAACCAGTCCGTTGTTCCATCTGCTCCCTTCCCTTTTGAACCAGTCCGTTGTTCCATCTGCTCCCTTCCCAGTTTTGAACCAGTCCGTTGTTCCATCTGCTCCCTTCCCAGTTTTGAACCAGTCCGTTGTTCCATCTGCTCCCTTGCCTTTTGAACCAGTCCGTTGTTCCATCTGCTCCCTTCCCTTTTGAACCAGTCCGTTGTTCCATTTGCTCCCTTCCCTTTTGAACCAGTCCGTTGTTCCATCTGCTCCCTTCCCTTTTGAACCAGTCCGTTGTTCCATCTGCTCCCTTCCCTTTTGAACCAGTCCATTGTTCCATGTTGGGTTCGGTTGCTTCTTGACCTGCGTACAGGTTTCTCAGGAGACAGGCAAGGTGGTCTGGTATGGCCATCTCTTGAAGAATTTTCCACAGTTTGCTGTGACCCACACAGTCAAAGGCTAACCCTAACCTGCACAGTCAATGGAGCAGAAGTAGATGCTTTTCTGGAATTCCCTTGCCTCTTCTGTGATCCAACGGACATTGGCAATTTGATCTTTGGTTCCTCTGCCTTTTCTAAATCCAGCTTGAATATCTGGAAGTTCTTGGTTCATGTATTACTGAAGCCTAGCTTAAAGGATTTTGAGCATTACCTTGCTAGAATGTGAAATGAGCACAATTGTTTGGTAGTTTGAACATTCTTGGGGATTGCTTTTCTTTGGAATTGGAATGAACACTGACGTTTTCCAGTCCTGTGGCCACTGCTGAGTTTTCCAAATTTGCTGGCACAGTGAGTGCAGCACTTTCACAGCATCCTCTTTTAGGATTTGAAGTACTTCAGCTGGAATTCCGTCACCTCCTCTAGCTTTCTTTATGGTGATGCTTCCTAAGGCCCACTTGACTTCGCACGCCAGGACGTCAGGCTCTAGGTGAGTGACCACACCGTCGTGGTGTCTGGGTCCTTAAGACCTTTTTGTACAGTTCTTCTGTGTGTTCTCACCACCGCTTCTTACTCTCTTCTGCTTCTGTGAGGTCCTTGCCATTTCTGTCCTTTATGGTGCCCATCTTTACACAGTAATTGATGTGGAACATTATATTAGTTTCAGTGGTACATTGTAGCGATTCAGTGTTTCTATATATTGTAAAGTGATGACAGTTCAGTTCAGTTGCTCAGTCGTGTCCGACTCTGTGACCCCATGGACTGCAGCACGCCAGGCCTCCCTGTCCATCACCAACTCCCGGAGCTTACTCAACCTCAACTCACGCCATTGAGTCGGTGATGCCATCCAACCATCTCACCCTCTGTCATCCCCTTCTCCTCCTGCCTTCAGTCTTTCCCAGCATCAGGGTCTTTTCCAGTGAGTCAGCTCTTCACATCAGGTGGCCAAAGTATTGGAGTTTCAGCTTCAACATCAGTCCTTCCAATGAACACCCAGGACTGATCTCCTTTAGGATGGACTGGCTGGATCTCCTTGCAGTCCAAGGGACTCTCAAGAGTCTTCTCCAACACCACAGTTCAAAAGCCTCATTTGTTCGGTGCTCAGCCTTCTTCAGAGTCCAGCTCTCACATCCACACGTGACCGCTGGGAAAGCCAGACTTACTGACTACTGTAAGTCTAGTTCTCACCCATCAGCACACATAGTTACATTTTAATTTTCTTGTGATGAGCACTTTAAGATCTATTCTCTCCACGACCCTCACAGGCACACTACAGTGTTACTAAGTGCGGTCCCCACGCTGTGCCTTGCGTCACTTTGTAACTGGCAGTGTGTTCCCTTAACTCCCTTCACCAGTGCTCACTGTCCTGGGAGGCCCCTGGTGCAGAAATGCCGGCTGGGCCCACTGGGTGTCAGGACTCCCCCACCGCAGAGATGGGTGCAGGGGGCGGCGTGCCCAGCAGGGGGCGGCCGTGCCCGCAGGTTGGCGCGAGGCAGGCTGCCGGCGCTGAGACGCTGGGAAAATCTGCCCTCAGCCCACCCTGGGGAGCCGGGCCGCCAGGCTCCCTGCTGCGCACTGCCCGCCCCGACCGCCAGCCTTCTGCTTCTGAAACATGCGCTTGCGGTTTCCTTTTTCTCACCCGCTGCCCACTGCCCTTTCTGCCCTTAAGTCCCACACGGGCCCTCCCAGCCCCGTGCGGCCCCCCGGATTAAGAGCGACCGACGCACCCCGATGTCGACAGCTTAGTAGGGAAACATGCAAAGAGCTCATTCATAATTTTTATGTTGGTTACCTATTGAATTGACAGTTGATAGGTTTGGCTAAGTCAAATATCTGATTGGAATTCTCACCTGTTTCTCTGTATTTTCAAGCACGGCTATGTTCCAGTCCTCAGGCAGGCGCCTTGCCCTGTCAGTCTAGGGGCACAGGAGTCTTGTGCCCACAGCTGGGGTGGAGCCGTGCGGCTGTGGGATGGCGTGCCCAATGGAGACCCTGGCCCCCGGCCTGGCAGCACCAACGCCACGCTGGGCCCTCTGCACACGGGAGGCGTGGGCCGCAACCCCTTGGCCAGTGCATTCCTGTTGCGGGCGCCCTGAGTCAGCACAGAAAACCAGCCCCTGGGCAAGCCCAGCATGTCGGCCTGCAAACCCACTGGAGGCCCTTCCAGGGGCCGAGGCCCGGACATGGGGCAGACAGTTCAGCTGGAACTCCCTGGGGGTGCGCCGGGCTCTGAAGTCCCCGTGCCTGCCTGGGCTGGGGAGCCTGATCGTGCCGTTTCCCGGTGGCGTTTCCTTGGGAGACGGGAGACGTCAAGGCCGAGCCTTCCCCTGCCCTTCAGCCTCTCCTGGCAGCTGGGTCACTGGCCTTAGCTGTGGGGCGGGCAGTCCCCAGCCGCCCCCTCCAGCTGTGGGCACAGCCTGCTTCACCCCGAGAGGATGGAGGCCCCAGGGCCAGGGTGTGCAGGTGCACGGGGTCACCTTGCCCCCTCCCGGCCCACAGCTGGGCCCAATCCCGCCCGGGCTCAGAGCCCTCCCATCTCCCTGGGGTGTCTCAGGGTCCCCCAGCGTCCTGCCCGCTGGACGTACCCCATCCGTAGGGGTCTCGCCCTTCCCTCTCAGAGCCCAAGCTCTCCCAGCCTGCTGGGGGGGGGGGGGAGGAGGGGGCATGGACTTGTAGGAAAGACCCCACAATCGCTAGCCGTTAAAGGAAAGCTGGACGGATCGGAAGACACCAGAGCTAAGAATCCTGTCTGTGGGGATTTCTCTGGTGGTCCAGTGGCTAAGTCTCTGAGCTCCTAAAGCAGGGGGCCCTGGTTCCCTCCCCGGTCATGGAACTAGACCCTACATGCCGCAACTAAGAGTTCACGCGCCACAACTAAACGTCCCACCACAAAGGCTGAAAACCTGTGTGCTGCTACTAAATCCCAGCGCAGCCAAATAAATGAATAAATATTAAAAAAACGAATCCTGTCAATGAAGAGACAGATTAAAGAGAACAAAGAGCAAGCTACAGACGGAGTGAAGAGAGTCTCACTGCGAACAATGGACAAAGGACGGGGACCCAGCAAATGCAAACAGTCCTGACGGACCAGGAAGAAAAGGACGCACGTCTCAGGGGCAGAGCGGGCAGAGGCCGTGGGCGGGCAGCTCTCAGACATGGGAGACAGGCAGCTGACAGCGCAGGTGGGGGCCACGCGCGCCTCCGTTCTGCACGCAGCCTAGAGCCTGCCACATGGCGGACGGGCTTGGGTCTGCAGGACCTCCTCTCGCCGGTGGGAGGATGAAAGCGAAAGTGGAGTTGCTCAGTCGTGTCCGACTCTGCCACCCCATGGACTGCAGCCCCCCAGGCTCCTCTGTCCATGGGATTTCCCAGGCAAGAGTCCCGGAGTGGGTTGCCATTCCCTTCTCCAGGGGATCTTCCTGATGAAGGGTCGAGCCCGGGTCTCCTGCACTGCAGGCAGGTTCTTTACCGTCTGAGGCACCAGGGAAGATTTGGACAATCACTTTGGGAGAATTTGACTTGTGTTGTAAAGCCGAATGTTCATGTGTCCCATATCGGGAGCATGGCTTGTGCAAAAGGCAGGAGGCACTGCTGAGCACCCAGGAAAAGACGGGCCAGTGGTGGCACGGGGACACCGGGGGGGCCCGGGCAGGGCATGAGCTGCGCCGGTGGCCGGTGTCCTTCATGAGCAGGACATCGGGCTGAACGTCAGATGGCTCCCGCGTACCTCTGCACAGACAGCGCTGTTTATCAACCGCAAAAGCAATGAGCAAACGAGGGTGGATGGAGCCGGTGAGGTCTCGGGGTACTGGGGCTCCGTGCATTCTCAACACTGTAGTGAGCGCAGATCTGTAGGTACGATAGAGGGGGCCCCGCGTGGATGCGTCACGGCTGTGTCTCATCACTGCCCGCCTCATCCGCTCTGAGCCCGAGTCCACAGTGAATGGACAGGAGCACCCCCCTGCACCACAAATCAAGAACCTGCCTAGCGTTAAAATTCACAGCAAGGTCACACAGGACGCGCCCGCCGCCCCACCCGTGGTGACCCTGCTGCGTGTTTCCTTTCCCGGTTCCCCGGAGTCCTGCTCCGTGTCCATGGATGGGGATTTGGGAGCCGAGGAAGGGCTGGCCTGAGACCGCACAGGGAAAAGCCTGCCTGCCAGTTTCTGTTTTTCTGGAAAATCCATTTTGTGAGCATCTGGGTCTGAGCCACTCGTGGACACGGGCGTAAGCGGCTTCGTTAGTTGAACGATTTCCTGTCTCTGAATAGAGAGGAGTCTGAGGACAGGTGAGCGAGGGGTGGGGAGGGGACAGGGCCGGTCACACCCACCCAGGCGTCTCTTTGTAGAAGCCGAGACGCTCCCAGAGCCTGAAGGCGAGGGGGCACCTTCCCTGAAGCAAAGCAACCAGAAGCGACAGCATCACTTTCGTGGGAGAAAGGATCCCATGACTTTTCCACGCCTTCTCTCCGCTCGCTCTTTCCTTCAGTAAATGGCCCGAGAGCAGGCGCTGCAGGCGGCAGGGAGGAGCCGCCCCCTCGTGCTGGGGTGCTCGGCAGGGAGGGCTGACCCCGCGGTAACGAGGCAGAGGTGGCTGAGGCCCTGCTGCTCCCTGGGTCACCCCGAGGCCCCGCTGGCCACGTCCGCTGTGCCTACGCCCGCACCCGCCGGCGGCCGACACCAGCTCCCACGGAACTGCAGAGCCCCGCAAACGGTCCCTGGTCCTCTAGAAATCCTCCTCTAGAAATCTCTGCTCCTGGAGCCCTGCCCCAGCCTGGGGTCCCTGCTGCCCCTCACCCCGTGTCCCCCCGTCACCGGGCCTGCCTGCGCGGCCTCCGCACAGCCGTATGCTCCTGCCCTTCCCACTGCCCCAGGCGGTCACCCTCCACCTCGCCCTGGACCCCAGGACAAGCCCTTCCCAGGCAGGGTCCTCCCCACCCCGCCCTGGACCCCGGGACAGCCCCCTCCCGGGCAGGGTCCTCCCCACCCCGCCCTGGACCCCGGGACAGCCCCCTCCCGGGCAGGGTCCTCCCCACCCCGCCCTGGACCCCGGGACAGCCCCCTCCCGGGCAGGGTCCTCCCCACCCCGCCCTGGACCCCGGGACAGCCCCCTCCCGGGCAGGGTCCTCCCCACCCCGCCCTGGACCCCGGGACAGCCCCTTCCCGGGCAGGGTCCTCCCCACCCCGCCCTGGACCCCGGGACAGCCCCCTCCCGGGCAGGGTCCTCCCCACCCCGCCCTGGACCCCGGGGCAGCCCCCTCCCGGGCAGGGTCCTCCCCACCTCGCCAGCCTGACCACGTTGGTCGTCTGTTCAGAGCCCTTCAGCTGCTGCGCCCAGGCCTGCCCAGAGTGACGCCTGCTGCCCGCTCCCAGGCCCTGCAGCCTGCCTAGCCTGCCGTCCCCTGCCCTGACCACGGCCCTCTGGGACACACTCCTCCTCAGGCCCAGGGGGCCCCACGCACACCCTTCTGTGGGTGACCCCCAGCTCACTCACACTAGTGAGCACCCCAACGTGGGCACTCCGTGAGCCGGGCCCTGAGCCAGGCCCTGGCGGAGGTCCTTCACGTCGGCGTGCAGTGAAACGGTTAGGGGAGCATGTGGACGGGGCCCTAATGCCTGCTCCTGGATGAGGGCCTCTGGGTCATCCCTCAGCGGGGCCCCGACCTTTCACCCTGTGAGGTGCTTCTGCCCCTGCTGGGGAGCTCACCACCAGGTGGGCTCACTCGGGGGCGGCGTTCCCTTGCGGACCTCCGTCTGCCCTCCTGAGGCCAGAGTCTCTACATCCCGTGGCCTGTGCAGGGGAGGGTGGCGTCCCTGCCACTGCCTTCTGCCTGGAATTGGGATGATGGCTGGCCCATGGCGGTCCCCGGGGGGCGCAGGGAGCCCCCAGGTGGTGGGCGGCCTGGGGAGGGGCGAGGAGGAGGAGGCAGGGAGCCGAGGCCCAGCTGTGAGCATCTACATGGCCGTGAGCGGGCTAGTGCAAGTGTGCCCTCGTCTACACAGCTGGCAGGGCCTGGGTGAGGGGGTAGGGGGCTTCTGCTGCAGGAGGATGGTGGGCCAGGGCAGCCAGCTGACGGGGAGGGGAGGGGGGGACATGGTCTGGGAGGGAGCGGGGGTGGGCGGGGCGGAGAGGTGAGGGGCAGACCTGGGTGTCTTTCTGGGGCTGAGACCAAGCTCTCCCGGAGGAAGGGAACCGGACCCTGCAGGGGCGGAGGGGCGGGGCTGGGGTCTTGCGGGGGATGCTGGGCTGTGGGTGTGAGAAGGAGCAAACTTGGGGATGAGAGGGCAGCGGGCCCCCTGGGAATCAGGTGGAGGAGGCTGGGTGGAGTCACGCTGGGAGCCGGCCCGGGGTGCAGGCTCACCCGCGGGGCGGGCCTGGGGTCGGCCCGGGGAGGCCCAGGGCCCTCCCGAGTGCAGCTGGTGCCCGCCGGGGTGCGGCCTGGGGGCTGCTGGGCCGGGACGTTCTCCAGCTGAGGGGCTGCCAGCTTCCCCAAGAGGGGTGTGGGCAGGGTCCTCGCCCCCCGCAATCGGGCCCTCCCGGCCCTCGGGCATCTGCTGCCCTGGGGGCCGGTCCCGACGGTCACGTCCTTAGCGCCGCTTCCCGGGGCTACGTCCCAGCCACCCTGCTCTGCCCGCACCCGTGTCCCTCCCGGCGGGCTCGAGGTGACGTCGTCACCACCCTGAGGGGGGCGGACCAGCAGGGCCCCCTTGGTGGGTGCCGATGAGTTTTTGGGAAGAGGCGCCCACGCCGTCTGCCCGCGGGCCGCTGCCCGCTGCCCAGGGCTGAGCCCCTGCAGGCCTCGCTGGCCGTTGCCGCCTTAGCAGGAGGCACCTCCAGGAAGCGGGGAGGGTCCTCCCAAAGCGTGTCATCTTGGCCGAGGGCCGAGTGTGGACCAGGCTCCCGGGCGGCGGGGGCCAGGGCTCCGTTTGGGCTGGGGGCGCGCTTGCCATCCGCCACAGCTGCGCCCCAGAGTCCGCGGCTCCTGCAGCTGATGTGGCTTCAGGCGAGCTGGAGTAAGACGGCGCCTGGCCTCCCTGCTGGCTGGACGCCTTCTGAACGGATGACGAATGTGTTTTAATTCGTCCCCACTTGGCATGGAATCCCCACCCCTACGCGAGTAACTGGGTCGCCAGCAAAGGCGCGCTGGGCTGACTCCAGCTCCCCGCCCTTTCCCGCAGGAGGGCCCTGGTCTTGTTAGCACGCTGACGGTCCCTGCGGGGCTCAGGGCGGTCCAGAGACGGACAGGCCTTGGGGGCTGCCGGGCGGCCCCGGAACGCAGCTCTCCGCCCTCAGGAGGGGGTCATTTCCACTCCTGCCTCTTGGGGAGGCAGAGTCGGAGGACTTGGGGGATGCCTCGGGAGCTGAGCCTCCCCTGCCAGGTGCTGATACCTCTCTGGGCTGGGCTCCCTCCCTGTGGGCAGGGTGGGAGTGTCCTGGGGTGACCATACCTGTCTCAGATGTGCCAGTGTTAGGGGCAGCACGCGTCCCCGGTGCCCACTGGCTTCTGGGGCTGCGCTCTTGGCTCTGGGGGGTTCCTGAGCCTCCTTCCCGCCTCCTGGGTTCCAGGCCGGTCCAGGTTCATCTGCAAGTGACGGGCAGTCCTCCACGACGGCCGTGCGCTTGGAGGCGGAGATGTTGTCCAGTGGCCCGCAGCACACCTGGGGTCAGCCTCAGTCTCTGCCCTCTTAGCCAAGGCAGGTCACCCCACCGCTCGGAGCCTGTCTCCCATCTGGGGACTGAGAGGCAGAGACTGAGCAAACAGCCTTGTGTGGGCTCGGACAGACGGGGCATGTGAAGGGCAGCTGATCAGCCGTGGTGAAGGGGGGCCCGGAGCTGGGCCGTGGGTGAGGGCAGAGCCCTCTAGAGTGCTTGCGGGCAGCCTGAGCTGGGCGAAGCTTCAGGCCCTCGGCATTTGGGTCCCTGAATCTTGGTGCAGGGAGGGCAAGCGGGGGCCCCAAAGGGTCGGTGGAATCGTCCTCGGCAGGGACCTGTGGGCTGAAGGCGCTCTTGTCTCCTGGAGGCTCTCAGTGGGCAGTGCGGCCCTGGGGCCGTGGGGAGACCCCCAGGTCGGGGTGGGGGCTGGGAGACACGCAGACTGCAGACTCCCCCTTGGGCATCCCCTGATCAACACCCTCAGGATGACGGGGCTGCTGGGCTCCGGGAATTTAACCACGTCTGGCTCCTGGCTCTGCGCAGCAAACCGCCCTGCTCCCCTGGGCCCACTGACCCAGGGCCTCCGGCCTCGGTGCCCAGCCTTTGTACACCTCCTGCTTTTCTGCATCTCAGGTTAGGCCTCCACTTGTGAGTGGGGTGTGTTCTTTGTCCAGGCGTATACCCACTCATCCAGCCAACCATCCAGCTTTCCATCCATGCATCCATCCCCTCGTTCTATAAATGTTCTCCTTGAGCAGGTCGCACAGTCAGTTTAAAGCTGTGAGCAGGCAGGCAGGGAGAGATCCAAAGGGGAAAACCAGACAGTTTCTGCTCTCGTGGAGGCGAAGGGTCATGGGGCGACGATGGGTAAACCCACTTCATCTGTGGAGTGGAGCGGGCAGGATGAGGCAGGGCCGCTGCTCAGACCACCACAGAGCTTGCCTGTCGGGAGCAGGGGCGGTCAAGGAAGGCTTCCTGGAGGACAGACAGCCCGGCTGAGATCCTGGAGGCCTGTCTCCGGGCCGACCGGTTCTCCCCACGTGTCTCCTGATAGGACTGGGGGAGGCAGCACACAGACGTCCGCGTTGACTGCCCACACGGTGGGGCCACCAGCCTGCCCACGAGCCATCTGCCGGCTCCTGCCTTCTCCGAGCGACGTGCTGGAGCCCGTGGGCTGCCTGGCTCCCGCACGGTTGCTAGCTGCACATGTGGGCCTTGGAAGTCCAGCCGCACAAACGCCCAGGGGTACCACGCCCCGGAGGAGAAGGCGCTGGGCCCGGAGAGCCAACGGGGCGGGAGGGACGGCCCTCCTGGGGCATGGCGCTTCACCGTCTACAAGCTCCCAGGTCCAGCGCTGGGTCCCTTTGTCAGGACTGTCCTCGGGGGTGGCCAGGTGGCGGTCACTGCTGGAAACGGAGGATCAAGGGAGGCGACGCTCTGCTCTGGGGCACAGAGGCCCCGGCCGGGCCAAGCCCTCTCCCCCGTGGTGTGTGGTCCACCAGAGGCGCCCCCAGCAGTGTGACATCCAAGGGTCTCCGATATCGCTGAGTGTCTCTGGGGCCTTTCGTCTGCAGCAGGGGACGAAGCAGGGCCCCACCACCTTCATGGAGCTGGACGTCTTTGCGGGGACTCAGGGGAGGAAACAGCCAGGCTGGGTCACCGAGGGACCCAGGGGAGGAGGGTGGCGGGTCTCTCTCTGGGATGGGCATTCCCGGAGTTTCTGGAACATCCGTGGGTTGTGGGAGGAAAGGGAGAAAGTGAAGGGCTCGATGAGGAGTCTCTCTGCTCTGATTCGGATCAGCTCCGTCTTTTCTCAGAAGCAAAAACAAAGGCCGGGGTTTCTTTTACTAACTGGCTCTGGCCATCGGACTCTTCATCGATGAACGTTATCACGGCCGGGTCGGGCTCGCTGGGACCCTGGGGGGCTCTCGGGCTTCATAAAGGACACAGCAAAGGGCAGACAGCGCCTCTCAGGAGGGACCACCTGCTTCGGGAGCGGCTCTGAGAAGCTGCTTGGAGAGGAAAATGCTGGTACAGAAGTGGGAGTGGGTGTCTCCTGGGCCTCAGGGGAGGGATGGGGGTCCCCGGGAGCTGAGGCCGGGTTCAACCCCAGCGGCTTGTGTCAGCCGATTTGATGTGGCCCTCGGGGTGGCCGGGAGCCCCCACGTCTGGGTCCCACGGCTCTGGGCCAAGACCTGTGATTCCGAGCCCCCACGTCCTCCAGGCTCAGAGGGCTCACTGTCGAAGGCTGCACGGTCAGCAGGCGGCCTCGTTGGTTGTTGTTCTCACCCCCGGGCCCTCCGTGCATAAAGGCTCCTGCTTCATCGAAGGCTGAGACTGTCCACAGTGGCCACTGGTCACGCGGCCCTCACCGGTTGGTGTGTTAGGGCACGGCAGGGCCCACTGCCTGCAGATGCCCCTGAGCATCCCTGCGCCCAGCATGGGCCCGGGGCACAGTAGGCGCAGGGCGTGCTGGCTGTACACGGGCGGGAGGGGTGGATGACCGGCCCCTCAGACTGGCCCCTCCTGCTGCGTGCGGCTGGGCGATGCCCTGGGGGGGAGTCAGCAGGTGGCCTCTGAGCAGGCTGGGGCAGTCCTGAGGTTGGGGCGTCCAGGTCAGGGGCTGGGGAAGACCTTGGGGGTCCCCTGGGTGGGGGAGGCTGGGAGAACCCACTGCAGGTTCCTGCTTGTGTGGAAGCCACAGAGGTTCAGAGCTTCCTCTCCTTCCTGCAGAGCCGGGAGGGGCCAGCCCAGCTCCCCCATCCCCAGGCCACAGGCCTGCTGTGTCCCGCCAGGGGTCGCCGTGTCTCTACCCCACTCCCTGCCTTCCTCGCATGTGCAAAGAGGATGCACCCTTCTGGGTGCAGGTGGCGTGGGGCTCACGAAGAGGGGCGCAGGTTTGGGCTTCACACAGGCTCAAACCTGTCTCCACCACAGGGTCCTGGGGCCTAGGCAAGTCAGGGGAGATGTAGGACCTCAGGCTCTTCCTCTGGACACTGGAGACTTGAAGGGTTCCGTCTGCAGACCATTCTGAGCTAGGATGTGCTGGGGGCCCCGAGACAATGCAGGGGGTCTGTCCCCCAACAAGGGGCTGACCTCCTGGGCTCTCCCCTGGGCAGAGCTCCTGTCCTCACATCTAGACAGTTGTATTATGTTATTCTATCACTTTGGTCTATAAAATGCCCGTCTGTATCCAGTAAAATCCTGGCTCCGAAGGTGCTGGCTTCTGCCTCGTTTTTTAGTAGTGAAATACGGTGTTTAAACATTTCATGGTCTGGTGGTAAATGTTTATGAGAGAGGCCCATTGGCTGGAGGTCAGTGGCTTGGCTGGCTTTGTCTCTCCTGGGACCCAGAGAAGCCAAGGAGAGCCGGGGGACCCTGGGTCCTGAGACAGCCGCCTCTGGGACCCGACCCTGTGGCTCGGGCGAGGGGGACCAGGCTGGGAGTTGGAGGGGAGGTGAGGCTGGGCCTGTTGTGATAGTGGCCGTGTACTTGGGTAAAGAGGACTATGGTGACGAAGTAAGATTCTCGAGAGCCTGGCGGAGCCCCTCCCTTCACTCTGGGCCTCCAGACTCACCCCGGCTCCTGATCCGGCCCAGAGCTGGCGACCCCAGGGGCGTGGGGGGGATGCCCCGCTCACCGTGGGGCTCTGTCCTTCCAGTGGGCCTGCACCTTCTGTGCTCTGGGCCTGTTGGCCCCACCCAGTCTCAGAGAAGCCTGGGTGGGCCTCCCGTCTGCAAAGAGCCTTTCACCAAGGGTAAAGGCAGGCGTCTCCTGTCTCCTACGGACCAGCGGAGACTGGAGCTGAAAGGCGAGGCCCGGTGGGTGTGAGGCCCTCCCGTTTCTTGTCTCCCCTTAAACATAGGAATGACAATGAAACTGACGACGCTGGCGCTGCCACCCAGACACGGGCCGGCTCAGGGCCCCTGCCTCGGGCTCAGGGCCCACCTGAGGTCCCAGTGCACGTCTGCTTAAAGCCTTAGTGTTCCCCTCCGCTCCTCCCCAAACCTAGACATAGCCTATGAAACCACGGTTTTCAGGACACTGCACACCAGGCCAGGAAGGACAGTGATTGCTGAGAGGTGGGAGTGGGAGGGGGGGGCGAGCCCCACAGGTGCTCCCAGCTCATGGCCAAGAGGGGGCTTCCAGCTGCGGCACAAGGAGGGGACCACAGGAGGATCCCGGGGGAGCCCTGGGTTGTACAGTCACAAGGCAGAACTTCAGAGGAGAGAGCCGATGGAGATTTGGACCCCCACATATTCATGTCACAAGTGAGGATGGTTCCTGAAGTCTAGGAGAGGACCAGCCACCCAAAATGATGAGAGGAAACAGTCCGCAGGCTGACAGAGCTGGGAGGAGGTGTCCTTCCCACCAACCAGAGGAGAAACCTCATGACTCGTGGGTCCCTGGGGGGAGCGCCCAGCACGGTCTGGCCTCAGTTATGAGGAATAACTAAAACCAGGTAAGCCACTGTCTGGGCCTGCATAATGAAGCTTAAAAACAAGACCTAAGAGGTTAAAACTGTTTCAAAATAAATGCATCCCCAAATGAAGCTCTGAAGAATTGATGCTTTCGAACCGTGGTGCTGGAGAAGACTGAGAGTCCCTTGGACAGCAAGGAGATCAAACCAGTCAGTCTTAAAGGAAATCAGCTCTGAACTTTGGAACTCTGTCACTGGAAGGACAGATGCTAAAGCTGAAGCTCCAATACTTTGGCCACCTGATGCAAAGAGTTGACTCATTGGAAAGATACCAGTGCTGGGAAAGATTGAAGGCAGGAGGAGAAGGGGACGACAGAGGATGAGATGGTTGGACGGCATCACTGACTTGATGGACGTGACTTTGAGCAAGCTCTGGGAGTTGGTGATGGACAGGGAAGCTTGGCGTGCTGCAGTCCATGGGGTCGCAAAAAGTCAGACATGACTGAGTGTCTGAAAAACAAAACAATAAACAAAGATCAAAACTACTTACCTGAGTAGAAAAGATTCAGCACCTAACAAAGTGAATGTCACAAGGCTGGACACTCAGTAGAAAATTACCAGGAGCACAAAAAGCGGAAAATATGACCCTCAAGGAGAAGAAAAACCAGTTAATTGAAACCAGCTCAGAAGTAGCACAGATGTTAGAATTGGCAGATGAGGATGTTAAAACAGTCGCCGTAACTGTGTTCAGAACGCACACACACAAACTGCACGTACTAAGTAGACACGGAGCTGTAGAAGAGACCCAAATCAAACTTCTGGAGGCGAAAATGACAAACTGCAGCGTCTGAGATGAGAATACACTGGATGGGGTTAAACACTGCAGAAAAAAAAATGTGAACTTGAAGACATAGCATCACAAGATGTCCAGAGTGAGACCCACCGAGGAAAAAACTTCCCAAGTATGAGGAGAGTGCAGAGGGCCACGGAACAAACTTCAGCCCAACGTGTGAGCCCGTGGAGCCTGAAGGATGGAAAGGGAGAGCAGAGAGACACTGGAGGAAACGATGGCTCACAAGTGTCCAAGTTTAACAAAAGCTGTAAGCCTGCAGAAGCAGGATGCTCGATAAACCCCGAGCACAAATTACATAAAACAACAGGAAGGCGTGTTTTGACAAAATCACTCAACACCTGTGATGAAGCAGCCAAAGAAAAAAGACACATCACACTCAGAGGAAAAGTGATGAGGGAAACAGTGTGTTTCTCGTTGGAAATCAGCAAGAAATGGGGGGCTAGATCTTTAAAGTGCTGAAAAAAAGAATCATCAGTCTAGAGTTCTATACCCTACAAAAACATTTTCCGCAACAATGAAGGTGAAATAAAAGATTTTCAGACAAACCAAGCTAAAAGAACATATCGCCAACCATCCACATAACAAGGAACACGGAAGGCTGTTTTTCAGGAATAAGAGATGCCAAGCAGAATTGTGGATCACACAGAGGAACAAAGGCTCCCCAAAATGGTAACTTCGTGTGTAAACACAGTCTACATCTACCTGCCTGTGATAATGATGTTAGATGCCTTTTACTGAATACTTATTTGCACCCAGCCCTCCACATATTGTACCACATTCCACTTTTCCTCTCCATTTTGCAGATGAGGAAACTGAGGCTTGGAGAGGCCACATGACCTGGACGACACAGCAAAGGCCAGAAGTCCCCCTGGAGCTGAGCTTGGCTCCTTTCAGCCCCTGAGCTGGGCGGCTCACTACTCTCCTTGCCTTAGACACTTCCCTTCCGGTCCTTCCAGCCCCCGCCTCATCCTGCAGCGTCTCCCACTCTGCCCCCGCGCTCAGGGCCCCGGGGTCTGGCCAGCGGCAAGCTGGGAGGCTGAAGCCCCTCCCCTTCCAGTCCAGCTCTCTGCAGCTCTGATGGAGCTTTCCTGAGTCTTCAGGAGATGAAACGTGACAGGGCCGTCGCCGTGGCAACCACTCATCATTTATTGATAGTCTGAAAACCCACTTGCTCAAATAGCCGGCAGTGATCCGCCAGCTCTGTTCCCTCTGGTGGGCTTACTGAATGGTGGGCTCTGCACCAGGTGCTCTTGCTTTGACTCGGGGCGGGACGGGGGGAACAGGGCGTGTGGGGGCTGCCCTCTGGTCTGGCTGCTTGCTGCTCACTGTGCTCTCTGACACCAGAAACCACCTTCCCTGCTTCTTCTGCAAGTGCTGAGTCACACCCGGAGTCACTCAGAGCAAACTCCACCCCAACCTGTGGGCTGAGTGCTGCATGGCCAAAAATTTTTAAAAAATTATATTTACTGATACTGAAACAAATTACATAAAAACAAAGGTAATATATAATCAAAACTCATCACTTTCTAATTATTTACTACATATTATTATCACCTATGCTCTTGAGACACTACTTTGCCAACAAAGGTCCGTCTAGTCAAGGCTATAGTTTTTTCAGTGGTCATGTGTGGATGTGAGAGTTGGACTGTAAAGAAAGCTGAGCGCAGAAGAATTGATGCTTTTGAACTGTGGTGTTGGAGAAGACTCTTGAGAGTCCCTTGGACTGCAAGGAGATCCAATCAGTCCATCCTAAAGGAAATCAGTCCTGAATATTCATTGGAAGGACTGATGTTGAAGCTGAAACTCCAATACTTTCGCCACCTGATGCAAAGAGCTGAATCATTAGAAAGACCCTGATGCTGGGAAAGATTGAGGGCAGGAGGAGAAGGGGACGAGCGAGGATGAGATGGTTGGATGGCATCACCGACTCAACGGACATGAGTTTGATCAAACTCCAGGAGTTGGTGATGGGCAGGGAGGCCTGGCATGCTGCAGTCCATGGGGTCGCAAAGAGTCGGACATGGGTGAGCAACTGAACTGAACTGAATTTGAACCCATGTTGTATTTATAATTGTTGCTTTGTGATGAGTGCAAAAAGCTGAGGACATACTCTTTCAGCTTTCAGAAACTACTACCTGATTCAGCAAAGAAATCTGTCACTGACGAGCAGATGAAGTTCTCATATCTGTCTCTGTTGTTTCTCTTTTGTCTTACTCCTTAAACAGTGAAAATATCAACCAACATTCATACTGGAATTATACTCACTTGTTTAGTGACATGAGCACCTTCTCTGCTGCACTGGATAATAATCAAGCATTTGTGTGCTTCTCAAGTGGCGCCAGTGGTAAAGAACCCGCCTGCCAATGTAGGAGATGTAAAAAACGTGGGTTTGATCCCTGGGTCGGGAAGATCCCCTGGAGGAGGGCCTGTCAACCCACTCCAGTGTTCTTGCCTGGAGAATCCCACGGACAGAGGAGCTGGCGGGCTGCAGTCCGTGGGGTCGCAGAGTCGGACACGACCGAAGTGAGTGAGCACAGCACAGCAGAAGCGTTTACACACATTCTGACTTTGTCAAATTGTGGCTGAATTGCTAGCTTGACTATGAACACGAGAGTTCCATGAGAGCACCGTGAGAGCCTCCTGACAAACACAACATCCAAGACCCCGGCCTAAGCACCGCCGTGTGCAGAGCTCGGGCATCACGTCGCCATGCAGCCGTCGCCACGTCCATCCCCAGGGTTCCTTCATCTCCCCAAACCGCGCTTGGCACCCACCGGACGCTCACGCCCCGCCCCACCCGCGCCACCGCACCGACTTCCTGTCTCTGTGGGCTTGGCTCATCTCGGACCTCACGCGGGTGGCCTGCGGGACTGGTCCTTCTGTGACCGGCTCATTTCACTGAACACAGTGTCGTCAAGGTGCACCCGCGCTGTCGCCAGGGTCGGAATTCCATTCTTCTTTAAGGTTGAATAACATTCCTGCCATGGACGGGCCACACCTAGTTTCTGCATTCATTCGCCATCGGACGCGGGAGCCTGTCACGGGCTTGCGGGAGGAGCTGGACCCGGGAGGTGGGCGCAGATGGCCTCTGTTCCTTCTCCTGGTTGGACTTGGGCGCTCCCCTTCCGCCCTGCTTCTCATCGCTGATGAGGGACACATGGTAACAAACGGTCCGTCCAGACCCTTCTCTGACGTCAAGCCCTTGTCTTCACGGGTGAGCCCCTTCCTGAGAGAGGAGCGGGTGCCAGCTGAGTGAGCCCCACCTGGTCTCCCCCGCCCACCCGCCTGGCTCCAGCTGAGCCCAGCGGGGCCGGAGGCAGAGGAATGCCCGGGACGGTGCCCTGTAACTGCTGCCGGGGCCTGCCAGCTGTGACAGGCTCCTTGCAGTCCTTGTGTGGGTCCGGGAGACCTAATCTCTGAGGATCTCTCGGAGTGGGGAGCCTGCTGGCTGGCCGACCATCATAATCGCCTCTCCTGGGGTCACTTGCCCACTCCAAGTGGCCTTTCTAGGAGGGGTCTCTTTCGAGATGACCGGAGCCCAGGTGCCCTCCTGGAGAGAGGCCCAGCGGGGTCCTTGCCCCATGGCCGCGGCACACACGGCCCGACTCCTCGTCTGTCCCCGGGAGGCTCCAGGCACAGCCCCTTTCCCGGGACGGTCAGGGGCCCAGCCCTCGTCTCCTCGCTTGCCCTGCAGTGACGGGAGGACCCCTTACCTTCCTGCCTTGGGTGGGGGAGCAGAACACAGCCTGGGGCTGTGTTTTCTTTGGGGAGGTGCCCATCCCGCTTCTCCAGCCTCTCGTGGACTCTCCACGACCCCTTCCAGGGTCGGGAGGTGTGGGAGGCGTGGGTGCTAGCACGGCCGCCCCCTGGCCTCCAGGTGGGCCCTGCGCGGGGGTGTGGCGCTAGAATGTACAGGTCGCAGGTCTCGGACGGGCACTCAGGGGGAGGTGCTCATCCCCAGGAGTGCAGTGGAGCCGCCAGCCTCACAGAGTGGGCACCAGCTGCGAAGGGGGCCACGGGTACTCTCCTGCCTCTGTCTTGGGGAGCGCCTCCCCAAAGAGTGGCAGCACCCGGGGGCAAGAAGGGGCCACTGGGAAGGGACAGCAGCCCACGAGAGCGGGGGCAGCGAAGACCCAGCCAAAGGGCTGAAGATGTCGCTGCGGTCGGCGGGCCCACGGGGCACACGGGCGCGAGGGCACCGCCTGCAGCTGCGCCGTGGGCGCTGCTCGCTGGCGTGGAGGAGCTGCTGGAGGGCAGCTGCGTGTGAGAGCCTTCACCCCACGGCGCGGCCCCTGCAGGCTCCTGCCGCCAGCCCGGCTTCGGGAAGAAGGTAGGTATCCGCCCCGTGCTGGGCATAGCAGGGGTCACAGGTGGGTCTGCAGAAGGGGAGTCAGGGGTCCTCAGAGAGCCCACCAGGTGTTCTGCGGGGAAAGGCCGGTCGGTCGGGGCCGAGCTTACAGCTGTCCGTGTCTAGCTGACACAGGTGGACGTGGGAGCTGGGCTCCGGGCGGCGATGTCTCTGCCCCTCTTTGCAGGGACGTGCTGAGCGGCGTGGCAGGTGAGGCGGGGAATCATTGTGGTCTCTGCAGGGCGGGCTGGAGGCCCTCCTTCCCTGGGGGGAGCAGAGGTGAAGTCTGGAGGCTTCACCCCGGGGATCCCCACATGGACGGGCTGCTCCACAGACCCAGAGAGGTACGTGGTCACGCGGGTGGGTGGGCGGGGAAAGCGTGTCCTCGGCCACCGGGAAGCCAGCACAGAGAACCTGGAGGCCCAGGGTCCAGGGAGACGCCTGTGCTTTGGGGGGTCCCTCTGACTCATCAGTGACCCTGACAGGTGGGGAACCCTGGCGTGCCTGAGCTACTTGGGGTGAGTTAAAGATGACTGCCAATTCTTTGTTTACCTTCCTGTTGAGAGCCGGAGTCAGTCTCCCACCTCCTTGAAGCCGGGTGGGTCCTTGTGACTCCCGTGGCTGATGGACGTGCAGGACTGGGGCCAGCAGGGCGGGAGGGGCTTCCGGGGCTCGGTTGGAGGCCAGGCTCCATCTGGGCCTCTTGGAACCTAACCCTGTGGCCAGAGCTGCCGGGTAAGAAGGCTGACTGCGCTGCTGTCGGGACCACGTGACTTGCAGAGGAGGGGTGCCCAGCAGAGCCCCCTCTTCTGGCCGCCCCCTCCAGGGTCAGGGGCCAAGCTCCCTCTTACCTGGAGCAGCAACAATACGCATCTACACCTTCTCCGAGGCTGCGCTGACTCAGCTGCCTTCTGCATGTGTATTAACTACCTGGGCCCCTGGACGCCTCACAGAGCGTCACATCGAACGGGTGGCACCTTGATGGGGTCAGAAAAGGAGGCCGAGTGGGCGTGAGTCCATGTGTCCACCGGGCTCGGGTCACACCTCCAGTAGAGGGGAGGGGACGCCCCGAGGGCCAGCTACAGCGCAGTGGCTGTGTCCATCCCCCCAGCGCCCGCCCATGCCTCTCTTGGGGAGGAGGCCTGGGGTCCCGGAGGAGCCGCCCTCCCCTGGGTACCCTGCCCCTGCCCTCCCGGGCGCAGGTCCACCTGGTGTCGCTCTCGCAGACCTTGCTGGGTGACGGCAGCGGCGTCTGCACCCCTGGCTCGGGACTCAGTGGCTCAGAGACAGTGGGGCCTGATGCTCCAACGTTGCCTCTCCAGCCCGAGGCTGAATGCGCTTTCGAAAACCCAGGGCTGTGCTGACAAGAGGTGGGGGGACCTGGGCGTGTCTCAGGCACTTCTCCAAATTCTGGCGATTTTCTCCCTCCAGCTACTCCTTCCCAGGAAGAGCTCCTGACAGGATGGGCTGTCTCGGGCCTCCGTTCGGGAGGACCTAGTGAAATAATAAAAGGTGTAAAGTTCACTACCCGTGGCCACCTCTGTGTGTCCCCCACTGTGAATGTGTCTTCTATTCATTATGGTTCATTTCTGTCCCCAGGACCGCCAGGAAGGCACGCGATCCCCACCCCCTCCCCCCCCAGTTCTTTGAGGGTGAGAGCCAGGCTCTGTGCGGGAGGCTCCAGGGCCGTAGAGAACCCGTATTTCAGGAACGACCCACAGTCACGAGCCACGAGAGCCGTATGACTGCATTACTAGAAGGAAATCTCAGCAGACGCCTGAAAGGCATCAGAGTGCCCCATAGTCCGCATCTGGTCATAATTAGAGGTTGAAAATATGGGCCAGAAGGGGACTGGGCGTGGCAGATGTGTGGCTCGGGGCATACGGAAGCATGATTAACGAGGGGAACTTGCCGGAGATGGGCTTGGCAGGCCGCTCCATCCCGTGGGCACAAACAAGGTGATTGCTGCCCCAGCACCCGAATCACGGTGGGTGATGGCTTTGGCCCCCGAGCTCTGCCCTGGACCCCCCTCTTGGGGCCGCCACGCTGCTGGGCGGCGGCGGCTGCGGGCACGGCCGGGTGGGGTTGGGTGTGGGGACTCGGACAGGAGAGGCGAGTGGTGGGGGCCGTGTGGGGCCGGCACCGGGCTCGGCGGGGAGCGGAGCCACGCCGCCCAGGTTCCCTGCACCTGTGTGCCCCCGGGGGAGCAGGTGGCTCCTTACAGACAGGCCCGCTCCCGGCTGAAGACAGCAGCCGGGCTCCAGCCCACGCCTTCCTCTGAGAGCGGCCAGCCTCCCAGACTGCTCGCTGTGGGGCCGGAAGGGCTTGGTCTCGTCCAGACCTGGGACGGCCCTGAGCCCCTGCAAGACGCTTCCCTGGGAGGGCTCCTGGAGCAGCCCCCACACCCCATCTCCGTCTCAGGGACAGCGTCCAGAGAACCCACCTACCAGGGGAATCGAGCGGTCCTGGGTCTCAGGACAGCTGGGGCCGGGAACAGGGATGCAGAGACTGAAGGGCGTGCCTCCCGGGGCCTCCCTGGGTGCTCACGTCACCCTGAGCCCACCTCCCAGGGAGAGCACAGAGAAGGTTCGAAGGCCCGCCGCAGGCATCGGTGCTCTCAGATTGAATTCGAATCTCTTCCGACTGACTCAGTCTGGCCGCCTGGTTTCAGCTTCCCTGCCCGCCTCCTGGGCTCGGGGTGGCCCATGCCGACGCTGGGCCTGGGGTCCTCCTCACCCTCACAGCAGCGTGCGCGGGGGCCCTGGGGGCGGGGCTTGGCACAGCACTTCACTTTCTGCCCCGGTTTCCCCCTGTGAGTGGGGGAACTGTCATTAGGATTGGGTTCAGACCCGAGTCTTGCACAGCCAGAGAAAGCCTGGGCTCCAGGCACCCAGAGACGGTGCATCTGAAATAGTAAGTACCGTGCCCGGGATGTCCTGGGGGTCTGGTGAGGTCCAGAAGTGTGACCTCCCTGCTGCTGGAACAAGTCAGCGCCCCTCGGGTGCCTGGAAGCAAGGGTTCTGGAGGCGAGCCTGGGCTCCAGGATGCGGGGCTGGGCTCCCTCTGGAGGCCCCAGGGCCTCCTGTCTCCTCCAGCTGCCGGTGGCCCCAGGGGTCCCAGGCTCATGGCCCCACCTCCCAGCCTCTGTCCTCTCAGAGCTTCTCCTCTCTGGCGTAACATCTCCCGCTCATCAGGACACTCGTGGAGGCGGGCAGTGCCACCGGCACAGCCCTTAACCCAGTTACACCTGCAAAGGCTTGTTTTTTTTTTCCCACATCAGGTCACCTCTAGGAGTTCCAGAGATTAGGACGTGAATACCTCTGGGGCTGTAGTTCAGCCGACCCCAGGTCGTCTATTGTGGGGCCTGCCCTTCTCCATTTCTGATGAGCTCCTGGCTGGCAGGTGCTGCCAGCCTGCAGACCCTGTGTGGAGTGGCCGTGGCGGATCCCTCGCCTTGGGGTGGGCAGGTTCCAGAAGCTTCTGGGGAGGGGGTGGCAGGGCCCCCCAAGGTTTGCAAGGGGCTCTCGCTGCCTGGGGTGGAGCCTGCCCGAGGGAGGGCACTGAAGTGGAGGGTCTACTCCAAGGGTCATTTCCCGGTAGGGACAGCTGCAACAGGAATGTTCTGGAACCTGCACGGCTCCTGCCTCCTCTTGATGTGATCTGTCTCCTTTCTCTTTGCCACAAGCTGCTGCTCTGATCTGAAAACCTGCCCGGCTCAGGCTGGACCCCAGTCCCGCAGGGTCCAGAGGGCCGTGAGTGACAGGGACCGCGGGTGGGCTTTGTCCTGGCCCGGGCTGTGCTGGTGATGCTTTGCTGTGATGAATCCACATTCCATGAAGGTCGCCTGTTTACCGAGCGTGATTCGGGGCTTCGCGTGTTCACAGCGCTGTGAAGCTCTCGCCCTCGGAGAGGTCTGGCCCCCGCCAGCCGGTGCTCCACAGCCCTCCTGGCCCTGCTCACCGGCTTGCTCAGGCCTGGGTCTGCACAGGCCTCCGCGGGCAGCCATCAGGTGCCGGGCAAGCCCTGAGCGTGCCTGTCCCAGGGCCGGGTGACGTGTGGGCTGGCAGATAGCAAGTCCTCAACGCTCAGCGGCCAGCGGTGGGGGTGGGGGTCCCGGGGAGCCTGGCCACTTCCCTTGATTGCTTACCCACCCCCACCCCCACGACCAGCCTGGCAAACAGAGTTGGTGTCCCCTTTGACAATCCAGGAGACAGGAGCTTGGGAGGTCATGCGCC